TTATATATATATTTATATTTAATTTAATAATAAAATTATATTTTAATATAAAAATAAAATATATATAAATATTTTAATAAATATATAATTAATATATAACATTTTTATAATATAAAAAAAGTTATAATAATAATTTTTAAAAAACGTAATGGTTTTATACGGTTAATATAATATTATAAATATTTTATATGTTAAAATGATAATTATAAATATTTTTAAATACCCCCCCCGCGCGTTAAGGTATGCACGTATATGTATGCTTGCGATACGCCGGCTTGTGATTGGTCATTCTCTCGATCCTCAATGTCTTATCGGGAATAAAGTTCAATTTAAGCGCGTTACCGCGTTCCTCTGTCAGTCTGTGCGACCTTTTGATCCTTTTGGATGGGTACCTTTGCCTGCATATGTACCTAGCTTTGCTTGAATCACATTGGTTGACTAACCCCGGAGGCTCTATGTATCATTTTATGAAAGTGTCTATATTTCAGTGGTTTCGACAATTCCTTCGCGTCGGTACGATACTTGTAGAGTGCCTAAAAGCAGATAAGGGCGATCTTCGCAATTTTGAGACCAAATATCAAATGGAGGCTTAACTCGTCTGTCTCATAATGGCGATCATAGCGAACCCCGCCTTATTGTATCGTATGGATTTCGCATATAAATGACATAGGGATTTAATCTCGATCACGATAGGCACCGATTTAAAGAAGTCCTTGTATGTAACGCGCATAATGCAATTTTGTGTAGTAATGACGGATGGATCCTTCATGTACCGGCCGAGCCCGGCCATCACCCACTGCTCCGCTTGCTCCGTAACATGGTCATAAAACCCAATCGAAGCCCTGCCAAGCTGATAATGGCGTGGTCCAAAATGAAAATGCGGCTAGGGGGTAATTTCGAGACTGGCACCATTCCGATTGCATCGTAATGCGTGTGATCACTTTGCAGTAAATAGCAATAACATAGCAAAAGAAAAAGAAAAAACCACTTCTTTAGTAAAAACTCCCTGACTCTCTAGAGATTGAATGTAGTGTTTAACATGCCCATTCAAGGACATGAATTCAATGCTAAAGAGCCTAGTAATGTAGCTGGGTAGCTGTCATTAAGCAAACTCCTTAAATCCTAGGAGCAGACGCGGAACTTGCATTGTAACGTGTATTGTGGGGAACGGATCTGTCGGAAGGAGGGATGGGAAAATTTGGGAGCGTTAGGTACCGATTAATGTTAAATGGCTCGCGAGAAGGCGATAATTGCCCGGTAAGTTAAAGATTAAGGTAACTACATCAAGACGGCTTAGACGTAGGTATATTACGGGATTCCGGGAAAAGACTTTCTGTATGACACATTCAGATTTGACTCTGACTAATACATTTTAGGTATATTACGGATCCGTAGTGCGGTAGTGCCAGAGCAGAGTGCCCTGAGCCTTGGAGAAATGGCCTGTCAGCCCTGCCTGGAGGCCTGCGGCGATCTTGTTCTATGGTACATAAGGTTTTTGTGAAACTTATGACCTGTTTTGTCCATACGGTACCAAATGGATTTAGTGACCAATAACGGTATTAGCTACATATGTACATGCGGTATTAGCTAACGGGCTTACATAGACTAATTTAGATCCACATTTTGAAACTCTTCCATCTAAATCTAGTTGCTCTCGCGCCTCCTAAATTCGATCTTCTTCCTCCTTGTCTCTTCACCTCGTGCACCTCTCTTCCTTGTCAACTTTTCAGAAAGGTGTTTTTAGTTGTTGGAGGGTAGCTGTCGTCGCTGTCGAACCGGGGGAATATTTTCCCTCAATTACACTCCTTGATTTAACGATATCAGCCGTCGCCCAATTGAACACCCCCCTTTAATCGAGTTCTAATAGCTTTAAGGTTTTTAATCAACAGCTTTCAGCTCGCTCGGCCGGCCTATCCGTAAATCTCCAGACAGAAACAACAGCCACCCTCAAAGATTAGAAGGACCAGTGCAAAGGACGGAAGCTCAGGGAAAGGGCAAAGTGAGTTGATTTATTAATTTATCCATTTGCGCACAATCAAGCATAGACGGACATTGTTTGTACAAACCCAATTCACCAAAGCTTTCTTCCATTATCAACTCATTCGCCCACAATTATCACAATTGGCACAATTGGTGCATACCTTGCACCCTGGATTGTTTATCGAGTTATCGGTAGCCATATCCTAGATGTTGCGGCCGTGTTATTGTTTCCTATCTTTCCGGTCAACTTCCTCCGCAGTCTGCTGGAAACGAATACCACAATCCCATCCCCCTTAAGAACACTCGACTGTTACTATGTGGTTCTAGCCAACGATCCGATGAAATTAACTTCCCGGTGGCACTTAACCCATTTAACTAACGGCCATTTAGACTCACAAACTGTAGACCTACACTCCGGGGCTCTTTTGCGTTATTTGTCCCTTTACAACCGCTCGATTATATATCCGTTACTATTTCCTACTACCTATAGAAATGCCACGACGTATCTCAATACCTTTTACTTCAAACAGCATGCCGCATACAGAAAAGGCTGGCGAGAGAAGACCCTCGCAGTCTAGAGGGAACCGCCTTAGCCAACTCTTCTCGTCGTCCCCCAAGGCTAGTCAACAGCCGTCTGCCCAGCAAGCCCTTATGGCCATGCAGAACGGCTCTAACCCTTCTATTATGGCTCCGGGTTTATCCCTGCCCACTATTTCCCTTTCTACGGCCACTGCTGGCGAGCTTAATCAAGATGAACCACCGACTACCTTGTTCCAACCTCCTTCTTCTACCGAAATATCACGTCAGAAACGGTTTGATGCCCAGTTCGGGCCATTGGTTGACCCAACCGACCGATACGTCAGCAAACACCATGGAGAACCTCTGGAAGCACCTATTATTGACGAGCCGCCGTATTATTATGTCTTGACAACCTATATCAGCTATCTCCTTCTCCTCGCCCTTGGTCACATTAGGGACTTTTTCGGCAAGCGGTTCAGCAAGAAACAAACCTACAAGACTCTCCGTGTGGCTAATGGATATGCACCTTTGAATGACGATTTTGATAGCTTCTACACTAGACGGTTGAAGACGCGTATAGACGATTGCTTCGCAAGGACTATTACTGGCGTGCCGGGCCGATATATCAACGTTCTGAACCGTGTCTCGGATGACTTCAATGAGACTTACAGGTACACTGGTGGTGCGACGGAGACTCTGAACATGAGCTCGTACAACTACCTTGGGTTTGCACAGTCTGAAGGTCCTTGCGCTAATGCTGTCGAGGAGTGTGTGAAGAGATATGGTCTCAGCTTCTGCAGTCCTCGCGCTGATTCGGGTACTTCTGAACTTGTCTGTGAGGTTGAGAAGGAGATTGCGACATTTGTTGGCAAACCAGCTGCCATGGTTTTCTCTATGGGTTTCGTCACAAACGCCAGCTCTTTCCCAGCTCTTGTTTCCAAAGGTTGTCTGATCATTTCTGATGAGCTGAACCATGCCTCAATTCGGCTCGGTGCTCGCCTTTCTGGTGCTGTCATTCGTTCTTTCAAGCATAACGATATGCTAGACCTTGAGAGGAAACTGCGAGAAGCCATTGCCCAAGGTCAGCCTCGAACTCACCGTCCTTGGAAGAAGATTCTCGTCGCCGTTGAAGGACTTTACTCTATGGAAGGTACTATGTGCGATCTACCTGGTATTCTCAACCTTAAGGACATTTACAAGTTTGCCCTCTATGTCGACGAAGCCCACAGCATTGGAGCCCTTGGTCCCAAGGGGCGCGGTGTCTGCGACTACTTCGGCATTGACCCGAGCAGAGTGGATATTCTGATGGGAACTCTGACAAAGTCTTTTGGTGCCAATGGAGGTTATGTAGCGGCCGAGAAGCACATTATCGAGAAGCTGAAGAGTTGCAACTCCGCTACCATGCTGGGAGAGTCTCCCACCCCGGCTGTTCTGATGCAGATTCTGGCTTCGCTAAAGATCATTAGCGGTGAACTTGTTCCCGGTCAAGGCGAGGAACGCCTGCAGCGTATCGCCTTCAACTCTCGGTATCTTCGTCTCGGTCTCAAGCGCTTGGGTCTTATCGTCTATGGCCACGATGATTCTCCCATTATCCCTATTGCTTTATATAACCCCGCTAAGATCTCTGCCTTCAGCCATGAGATGCTCAAGCGTAGGATTTCGGTTGTTGTCGTTGGGTATCCTGCCACTCCACTAATCAGCTCTCGTGCGCGTTTCTGTGTCTCGGCTGCACACAACAAGGACGATATGGACCGACTTCTAGCTGCTTGCGACGAGGTTGGAGATATCCTGCAACTCAAGTTTTCGACAGGAATTGCTGGAGGTCTCAAGCCCCTGCCAGAAGGCGTTGCCCCGGAAAATGAGAAGACACGGCATAATGCTAGCGGGTCTAAGGGCGTTATCGAACCGCCTCGATGGTCCCTCGAGGAGATTATCGCTCGTGGCTCTGAAGATGCTAAAGTGAGATTAAGATAGAATAATTGGGCATCCTGCAGTTACGAATGTGAATAACTTGCATCAAGGAGTTTTGTCACGGTATGGGAACACGATATCTCGAACTAGGGCGCCTTGGAGTTAATAGACGGCCCCGGGCCGATAATTGGTTGTGTATTTGGAGGTTGGGTCCGCACTCGCTTTACAGATAAACCTTGGTTCACTTCACACCGGGCTGGTATGCCAAAAGGGCGAGCGAGGCGGAACAACTCCTTTTTGCCGTTGGCATCGGAAGACAAAGATACCCTGACGCTGTACTTATTGTATTGCCAACCCTAGTCGTTAGTTGACCTTAGGTCGACGATGGCCCTTAGCCTCGTCCCTTGTGGACTTGGGGCGTTAATAGTATTCGATAGGAATACGAATTCATTCGTTACTATTTGCTTAATTATATGAATTATGAGTTGTGTGATAAATGTTTATCACCCAATGCTTAATGTCTTGAACGTATGTTTATGTAGGCGTAGAGAATTTCTTGAGGTATTATCGACCATATCCCATTAGGAAAGAGACTTGATATGATGCTTAGCTAGGATTTTTGAATGTTTTGGGTAAAGTGTGGGTTAGAAGTAGTGTTGAAGGTATATATATAATTAGCATCTCGAAGGAGCCGTTATTCCCTTGAATTTGAGCTGATTCTATGTTGAGAATCTAGACATGCCTACCTCATGATGAATTCTCCGCGCCATCATTCGAAGACTAGCACTAATGAAGTAGTTGGTTTCTTGTAGAGTATGGGTAAGGTGTTGCGGCTGACAACAAAAGGCTTGCGTTGGATCAGCATATTTAAATTCAAATTCCTCTTCACCTGAGTTATTATAAAAATGTATATATATTTCCAACATAAGCTACTATTCTTGTCTATGTATATGAACAATAGGTCAGCCAAGTTGATGATGAAATCTATTGATGTCATATAATTGTAACTATGTAAGAAGTGCCGAGATCCGTAGAGGTCTTGTATGTACGAAGGCGATATGAGCGTTTAAACATGGTCTACCTAACCTAGGTTAGAAGATTAAAGATGATAGATCATGAAAGGTTGCGTGCCGCCGACTCGGTTGAAGCGAATGTAACGCCAGGCTTACTTGAACGTTGCGATACCCAATGATTTGCGATGAAATCTAACTGTCGTCGTCAACATTCTGGTCCAAAAGCTATGATACATAGCTTAAGCTTGTTAAGCGGATATTTCCGCAAATTCAGCATTTGCGGAGACAAGGGTGTTATTTTCTTTTCTTTGCTGATTTGATAGCTCGCTTCTCAGTACGAGATTATGGGAAATTATTAAGAAAAATTGATATTAATATGACTGTGTCCATGCGTTTATGATTTATTATAGTACATCCATATGCCATACACGTGTAGACGCTGGCAACGACGTAGGTACTTGACTACATGGGTAAAACTATAGGTACTTGGTACATACAATTGTCTCGAATTGGTGGTTGAGAAAAAAAAAAAAGGGGACCCATCCAACCTGCGGAGACTAGCAGAAAACGGGTTAAAAGGTGCAGAGAGGTGGACTGTGGAATGCCTAGAGGGGGACAGGGTAAGAGCAAAAAAGGCGCCAAGCAGCGGCTACAAGTACCTAACTAGGCTCTCTCAGGTACACCATCCCACTATTAGAAACACCGGGCACTTTATGTACAGTGACCATGGGGGCTGTGTACCCCCTTTATTTATGCTGTGCATCTTTTGGGCGATACGGCGTGCAGCACAGGTACATTTTATTTTGTACCACAGTACTAATTGATACTATGGAAGGTATTACCTTATGTACACAGCGCACAGGGAAGGAGGGACGGGGATGGAGGGACTAGGAGGGACTACCAGGAACAAGAACTTGAGGAATTGCGAGCGGGACCAAAGGCAAAGCGCTGGGCTTTCTACAACCTCGAATCAATTCGTTATTAGCAACCTCCAAAGTCTCCAAGTCCGCACTGCAAATAACTACCAACTCCAGTCTCTCCTCTCCGACTTTTCCTCCAAAATCAACACTGTCCCCCCGACTCATACAGTAGCACTGCAACGGTTTTTTCGTCCGTAGTGAATAATTCCCCATACCTCCTGTTTCCGACAGCGGTTTCGACACATCGTTGTATTGTATTAAGGTGGACTCTTCCCGGGGTGTTACTAAGGAACAAAGTCTTTGGTAGCTCCTTGTCGATTAGGCGCGCGGGTTTATAACTCCCGTCTTTGAACCCTTTTAGACCCTGTTCGACAGAGAGAAAGAGAGAGAGGAAAAGAAAAGGAGGGAGGGGCCTGGGAGTTACAAGAAAGAAGCAAAGAGAGTTTTTGAAACGTGGAAACGTGGGAGACGATATAACCTAAGTAACGCCACAGTCTCAAATTAATTCTTGCTATTTTGCCTTGCTTTGCTTTAGCAAGCGCCGACGATGAACTTCGACTCGGGCACCGCCTATGCAGAATCCGACGCCGACGATGAGTACGAGAGGAGCGTCCATACTAGTTCACCCGTCCTCGCCACCGATTCTGAGATCTCCCCGACCGATTCCGATGGCCGATCCTCTACCGAGCACACGCCTACTACCTACGGACAACCCAGTAGCGCCAACAGGTTGCCCGAAACTATAATATCCGAATGGGACGCGGAGGAGTGTGCCGATTTCATTGCTAGTATAGGATTACAACAGTACTCAGATCGATTTATTGGTATGTCTTCCCGCTAAGCGTGTAGTCATCAAACGTTGTTACAGCCCTCTTTGTCAAATTCGCCGTTCTAACATCAAGTCTAGAGAATGAGATTGTGGGCGAGGCCTTGGTGGCTCTGCTACACGATGACCTCAAAGCTATGGGAGTGGCCAGCGTCGGCCACCGGTTAACAATACTTAAGAGCGTCTATGATGTAAAAAAGGCACAGGATGTTCCTATAGAGAGCGACCACTATGTACCACTCTGTATGTCGCGTTCCTTCCCGTCCTCACCTTTCCTGCGCACTTTGCGTATTTCATGTAGCCGTTAACGTAGCCTACTAACCTCGCATATAGCTGCCGATGCCGAAGCCCAATACGCTACCGCAACCCTTAAAGACATCAAAAACCTGGTCGAGCAGCTACGACTTCGAGACGAAAGGATGAGCTTCCTGGAGCAGGACTTGCGACGGATGACGGAGGATTTCAGACGGCTACGCGAAGATATGCTGCCAGCCTTGCGCCTTGCTAAAGATGCGCAGCAGCCTTTACCACATGTATCAAACAATCAAGGAGGCTACGGCTACGAGGCTTCTACGGTTTCTCCTCCCGCTCCTACCTCTGCGTCGAATCAATCGACCGGTGGCATCAAACGTCAATATTCCACTAAGAAGATTGTTCTTGGTACGAACCCCAAGAGCGTATCCCCTACTCACTTACAGACCACTCACGAGCGGCCCTCTGTAGAACAAACTTTGGACCCTGCGGGTGCCGCCGAGAGGGCCGTTATGTCATCATCACTTCTGACTGCGATGAATGGTTCCGGTCAGGCTACGTCACCCGGCTATTCTCCGAATATACCCTCGCCCACCTCACCTCCAAATTTAGGCAGCGCCACCCTCGGCTCCCGGTCATACCGCTCTGACGACCGGCAAACGCCATCTAACCGCACAACTTTCTCGGAAAGTGAATACGGACATAATCCTAAGCAACCCATCGCGCCGCGGCGAGGGCAGACACCAGTACCCGAGACTCCAGGCTCGAATTCTTCGGTGGAGATCTTCAAATCGTTTAGGGTCAGTATGGACGATCCTTGCTACAAGGTCCTACCGGCTGCTCTGAAGAAATATCAAATCAACGCACCATGGGACCAATACGCGCTGTATATTGTGTATGGTGACCAAGAACGTTGCTTGGGTCTGCACGAGAAGCCATTGATCCTTTTTAAGCAATTGGACAAGGAAGGAAAGAAACCCATGTTCATGTTACGGAAAACCAATACTGCACAAGCGGACGCCGAAACACCTGGGAGCGCTGGTCTGAATACGGGAGACTTAACGGGAGTTCAGTATAATCCTCCCGGCGGGATCATATGATCGATCCTAAGACAAGTTAACAGGGCAAAGCGTCCCTAATATATGAAAGCCATAATCCAAGAACTGTTACAGGTAGCAAAAAACGGGCGTGGCCATGTACCGATATTTACTCTGGCACAAGCGCGCATTGCTATTCCTCTATTGCTTACCAGGCGAGCGTATATGTCTATTGCTACGAAGCGGGTGTTTATCGAGTCTATTTCGACGCCACACGCGAGCCAGATTCACTCTCGAAAGGAAACACTAGGCATTTAGAGCCGGAAACGAAGCAGGGGCTTCTGATCGCTATTGGTGGTGTCTATCCATCTACTTATCTACCTACCTTAGTTAGCGCAGTGGATATTGGGACTGTCTATTATCATGATGAGGGGCTTTCTAAAAGCTCTATTCTCAGCATGTTACTACTACAATGTTTTACTACGTGCCTGTGCTTGGTCTTCTGTGAAGCTTTGCTGTGTGTATATTATAGTGATTTGCTGGAGGCTGTGAATACTGCTTGGGGGTTGATGGGTGAGAGAAGGATTTATTGCCTGTATAGCTTCTCTATTTAGCTTCTAACGAAAGTTCTCAGTTCTACTGACTTGGATACTATAGAAAAGACAACCAAGTCAAATATCTATCTGACTGTAAAGTGTATGCAAATGCCCCTGGGTGATACTCAGCATCTAGGCTCTATTCTAGGTTTTAAGGGGCTTAAAGGGATTTTAGACCTAGAGATACAACCTTTTTTTATTTATTTTTTATAACCTAAGGTTGTATACCTAAACTAAGGCAAGCACAAATATTGGTATCAAATTCACTGCATGCAGTGCCTAAAGTGCTTGGTTCTATTCACAGGTACGTAGGTACTTAAGTGGTAGCTCTTGCACAAATAGGTGTTGTGTTAGAAAGTGGTAGGTGCATTGGTACCTAGGTACACTAAACTGCATGGTCATTTTAGAACCCACAAAATTTGCTCCTGCCTCCCACATCTAATTCAAATCTTTTCCAGTCCGTGCACAGATACCATCGGAACAACAAAACTCCGAAGCCACATTCCCAATCAATACCGCCACAAAGGTTTATCCGAAGTCAGCCCAATATGGCGCGTAACAACAAGCGCGCTAACGCACGTGCCATTGCCAAGGCCAAGAAAAAGAAGGCTACAACTATTGTGCTGGTTAATGTACGCGATCTCTACTCCACCATCATCATTGGAATTCATTTTGTAGTCCAAAACTGACCTCACGATCGCTTAGTATTCCAAGTCTTGCAAGATGCACGTCGAGGTATGTTTCCGTTGAATTCTAATATTCTCTATTTTTATGATAAGGATCATCTCTTTTTTTCCTCTATTTCTTTCTATTTTTTAGGATACGATACGCGTTTCCTAAGGAATTGAAGGATGTACTAACGCGCTGACGAACCTATAGCGATCAATCAAGCTCGTTACCGAGCAGCACAACATGTAAGCTACCCCATGGCTAATGCGCCCCAGTTAGAAGCTTTTCGTGTATCTGCAACTACTGACACTCTATGCGCATCTAGTCCGAAGCCCTCGCCTATGCCTGAGTTTCCCATGAAGGAATGGAGCGTCAAGATCTATGTCTTGGACCAGGCCGGCAACGAGCATCCTGCCAGTTGCTTCACCAAGGTTACCTACAACCTTCACCCCTCCTTCGAGGACAAGACTCATCAGAGTAAGCGACATCGGATCCCCCGCGCGCGTATCAGCCTCGAGGTTTCAAGACTGACCGGACGATAGCCTTCACTGATCCCCCCTTCACCTGCAAGAACGAAGGATGGGGCGAGTTCGAGATGTCCATCGATCTCTTCACTACCGAGAAGGGTGGCAAGACTACCGTCTACCACGATCTGAACTTCCAGTCTCCGAAGTACGAAGTCATCCAGACGGTCACCTTCAAGAACCCCTCTCAGGCGTTGCTCTCGGTCCTCCGCGAGACCGGTCCCATCCCCAACGAGGACGACTCGAAGGCCGCAACCAAGGCTCGCAAGGCAAATGACATCAAGAAGAAGAAAGCAGCTTACGATTATGAGAAGATGGCCGACGGTCTCGGCAAGCTCAACGAGGATGACCTTCTTCACGTCATTCAGTTGATCCACGACCACAAGAGCGATGAGACGTACACCAAGAACGACATGGACGCTGGTGAATTCACGGTGGACCTCTACACTCTGCCCGATCACCTCTCCAAGATGATCTGGGACTTCATGGTAGGCATTTATGCGCACGCTATCGGAACGAAACGTACACAGATTGCTAACTTAAAGTAGGTTGACATTAAGATTGTCTAAGGATCTCGTCGCAAGTTCTTCTCGGGTTGTACCCCGTCCGGTTTGAAATGATTTATTGGTCTTCCACCATCATCTTCCACTACTGGACTCTCGTGTTTATCTTGTTCGTCATCTTCACATGAACACTCGGTTGCATTTGCATTGGCATTGGCGTTATGAGTTAGGTATGGCACCTCATTAGGTTGCCCAAGTGAATAGTGGCATTGGTTGGCAGGTGGCAATGGTTGACCTTGGCGTATGGTTGCGTTTCAACGCTTCACCCATCGCGATAGATACCCTGCAATTAAATAGTCTCCCGACAATGCAAAAGGTTGCTTTCTAAAGATTCTAGGCATGCCGTATACTTATTTTATAGTGTTATTCGCGCTTACGGAAGACCGATGTGGATATCGATGTGCCTTGGATACACGCCATCCGCACGTGGGTAGGTTACATAGATAAACGGCCTACATGCGTAGATGCGACTCCGATTCGAGTCCGAACCGCTCCTTGCGACTCACCGCATATCTAGGTACCTATAAGGTGCTGATGCCTCGAGGGACATGTGATTGTGATTACGCAGCATAGTTTTAATACATTATTTGGCTATTAGGGTCTGAGCCAGACAGATTGGCTGGATGATCAAGACAAATTATACGTAGGTAGGTACAGATTGCGGCGTTGGGAATATCGTAGGCTGCTGAGGGCTGTCGAGCTGAGTATGACATCACAGGCATCACAAGTTTTGAGGCTGAGCGATCATCAGCTACGGATAGTGTACTTCTTGTTTAGTGGGGCTTTGCGGAGAAGACCTGGAGTCTTTTAGGGCCTCATTTAGTGTAGTCAAGGTGAACTAGGGAAGGAAACTAAGGTGAAGGATTCTTGGGATCGGGTCATGCTACTGTAGACGGTAACGTGACCGAATGAATCTGCTTTAGCCCAGCCACACTCCGAAATTCCATTGGTCGGAAAATGGCTGCCGCTTTCAGCGATAATTGCATGAGGGTAAGCGCGTTATTGGATCCGTCCCGCATCGCGTACTTTATGTACATAGTACATAGTGTATAGGGCCGGTTACCTACTTGATAGGCGGGTACATGTCAGGATGTTAGGTTACGTAGGCTTTAATATACTTCTTCACCGACTGACTTATTAGTAATTTAAATAGGTACTATGGTATTGTCTGCGTTGCTCGATTCCAGTTGTACATGTATAACAATGCTTCACCTGCCTAAATAGCACTACGTAATAAAGGCCATTAGGTACATTGTTAGTATGAACTTTAGTGATGCATGCACATGGGTAACTGCAGTCTTAGGCAGGCAGGCAGGATATAGACTTTAGTGTAGGTAGGTACATGTCTGGGGGACACCGATCTTGGCTTTCCTTGCCGATTGCCATTGACCAGGGGGGAGCGAAGTGTGGCTTCCGTTGGCACATATTGATATATCGTAATCGGTGAAATTATATGGAAAGAGAGAAGCGAAAAGAGAGAAACAGCACGAGGGGAAAAAAAAAAGGAAATAAGGAAAGTTGTCCTGTGCATATCCCAATCCTCTCAATTTCTCCATCACATCATACATACAAATCCTACGTTATCCCACCCTAACTCTACATTCTCTATCTATTCATTGGCAAACGTGCAATCCCGGACTCCGGTTACTTATCAACCGCTCCAATCGTAGCGCCCAATAATACCCCTACAATTCCTAATTCCATTGTTCTCTTCCCCGATTACAAACTAAAATAGGCCACCCACAGCTGCGGCTTATCAACGTCAAGTCCGAGATAGACGGAGGCCTAGGACCAGACGAGACGGAAGATCGAATGAAGCCTCAATCCGAATTGGCTTTGCCCATCTTATATCCTTCCCATATTTGTGGTACCCGTCTCCGCCCATCAACCCTGTTGCCCGTACCTGAAGACAGCTTAGACTTACCGATTCTAACCCTATTATCAAATCTTCTACCATCTAACCGGCGATAATTTCCAAGAAGCTGTATCACATAAGCGTTGTTGTGTCTGCACTTGAGCTATCTTGCTTTACGTAGGACCTTGTGCATACCGTATGCTGGTTCATTTGCATACTGTACAATACTCCCCCGTCCTAGCTGTCTCGGTCTCCCAACCCCGCAAGTCCGAGGTAAACCATTTCACTCGTCTACCGATCTATTCAAAGTAGGGATCGAAATTATTATAGACTCTTCCAATTGTCAGATTGGATTCGTCCCACTTAGTTGGAGTGCCTATTGTTTTTGCGCGTCCTTATTATATAAGACCTCGAAATCCCGTCGTAAGCCGAGCAGCAGTCGGCGCGCGCCGGGTATTTTTCTGCGTCGTGTTTGATGCGTGAGCGGGAAATCAGGGCTCAAGTTGGCGCTGGAGCTGGAACTGGAGCCGTAGCCGAAATAAACCAGATCGATAGCACCACCACTGGATCAGACCATGTCTCAATATGAGAATGCCGCCGCACCCGCTGCCAACATGTCATCTGCCATTCAACAATCGCGCCAATCTCTCCCCGCAAACACGGCACATTCTCATCCGCACGCGCAACCCCAGTCCCAACCTCAGCCGCAATCTCAAACTCCCCAGCACAAACGGGTCTATCAAGCTTGTATCCCCTGTCGGAGGAGAAAGGTGAGATGTGATTTGGGCAGCGTTGACGATCCCCACGACCCCCCGTGCGTGCGTTGCCGCCGCGAAAGCAAAGAATGTTTCTTCAGCGCTACGCGACGTAAGCGCAAGAACGAGGATGATATCGACGAGCCGGAAGACGATTATATCGTTCGCAACGCTCGAAAGCGAGCCCATGCCGAAGACACGCCTCCATTTGTCGATAAGAAATCCTACAGTAGCGTACCGCTGACTCCCGGTGGTTCGACCGGCCGAACACAACCCTTAAAGCGACCCAATGTAGATCATGAAGACGGGAGAAAAAACGACAGAGGAGGAAGTTATACGGACGTCGGTGAAGATTCAAATGCTCAGTTGGAAAATCTCGAAGCGCAGAGTGTCATGAGAAAGGAAGTCTATGGGCCTCATGATGCCCTCGACCTACTGTACAAGGCTGCTACCGACAGGTCCGTCTTTATATCACCATCGTCTAGCATGCTCCCAAACGAGCGAATCGCTGATTATGCCACAAGCCCGCACGATCTAAATAGACGCCACGAAAGCATTGCCTCCGTCGTCCAGCCCTCGCCTGTATCTGTTCCTGGTCGTAAGACCCCGCGAGATCACAGTTCTGGTTATAATGGTCGCCCGGCCGGTCGCGCAACGTCGAAATCTGCAGACCTCATAGATCCACTCTTGCAGTCATCGACTAAAAACGATGAGGCGGCTGATATGGAACGTCGGCTAAACGTTGAAAATGAAGCTGGATATCAAGAAGCGCTCGAAGCTTGGTCGAGGTTTAGATTTGTCAGAGCTGGATGGTTTACGAAAGAGGAGGCCATCAAGTACATAGTATAGTAAGTCAACAATGGTGGCCGTTTTTGTACATTACTAACTTATTGTTAAGCTATTATGAATACCTATCTCCCATGACGCCCATCTCGCCACCGACCTTCCGAAGTCCGGCTTCTCATGTCACCTTACTAACCGAAGAACCCATACTCACAGTCACGTTGCTGACGATTGCATCGAGATACTATCGTATCCGCTCCACGGGTGGTCATTGTAGATCGCACGCAATTCATGAGGAGCTATGGAGATATCTTCGAAGAATGATCGAAAGGTGTCTCTGGGGACAAGAGGCTTTCGGTGGTGGCTTTTGCGGGTCCGGTGCTGACGAATCCCAGACCTCTAGCACTGCACCGTGGCGAGGTTTGAGGAAAGGAAGTCTTCGTACGTTAGGGACAATCGAGTCGTTAATGATATTGACTGAGTGGCATCCCCGCGCGCTTCACTTCCCTCCAGATGAGGCAATTGACGAGTTAATGCTTCCCTCTCGCGGCGGACCTCAGCTCGATGATGACGAAGGGGATCAACGTCCTGGCGGCAACGTTGGAGGTCGTAGAATTGAAAGCTGGCTTGAGCCTGCGTGGAGGAGCGACCGCATGTGCTGGATGCTGCTCAGCAATGCGTTGGGTCTCGCTTATGAATTAGGGGTTTTCGATGACATCGATGAGCTGCTTGAGACTAATGCTATCACGCGACCCGAGTACGAGGACGAAGCGTATCGTCTCCGCGCCACGCGGATCAAGCGGCTGCTACTGGTCTACTTGACGCAGCTAGCTGGCCGCCTCGGCTGGACGAACATGGTTCCTGACAGCATCCGGAAAACCGACCCTGCCCTGTCCGGAAGACGTCTAATATCAAACGAGGGAAACACGCCGGGGACAAATCAATCAGTCATATCTAATAGCTTTAGTTATGTACCTAACGTCGAACTAGATGACCAGATCATACACTGCTGGGTAGGCGTGAGCGATGCCATGCAGTTGGGTAACGAAAGGCTGTTTCGATCGCGGAAACACACCACGGAGATCATACAGAGTGGAAACTACACAAAGGCACTCAAAGAATTTCAGCCGATCCTTAGGAACTGGTGGAGAGAGTTTCAGCGTTTCGACATGCCCGAGAATATCCGTCATATACTGACGATTGAGTACGAATACGTACGGATATATGTCAACTCTTTAGCCTTGCAAGCAGTCGTTGAACGTTGCACAACCAATGCCGGAGTGTCCAGCAACACCGTGCACGGGAACAATGCCGCTGCAGGTAATCCACAGCTGTCACCTCAAACGCAAAACTATCTAGGTAACCTCCCTCTTGGTCATCTGGGTGGCTTCGGCCATGAAGATCAAGAATACGTCAAGGAAGTGGTGGATGGGTGCAGAAATCTTTTACGGACTGTAGTCGAAGGCTTGCTAAAAGAAGGTTACCTTAAGCACGCCCCTGTGAGAACTTACTTCCGCATCATCAGTGGAGCCATGTTCCTGCTCAAGACCTTCGCCCTAGGTGCTCCTAAGTCCGATGTAGAAGTGAGCATCAGTCTCTTGGATCGTACGGTTGATGCGTTGCGGAACTGTGTCGTCGATGATATTCATCTGGGCACTAGGTTCGGTGATCTTCTCGAGTCTCTAACAACACGACTCCGAGACCGCTTCAAGTACGCACCGGCGACAGGTTCTAGCGAAGGCAAGAGCCCTCGTCAAAATGGCGAGGTGAGCAGAGCCATGGCTACGAACGGAATTTTGCATGCTAACGGCATCGAGAATGGGTACATGAATCACACTAAATACAGAGAGGGGCTCAATGTTCCTGGTAAGTTTATTACTATAACTAACACTGCTGTAGACCCTGAGGACGGGACTAACAAATCTTGTAGAACGATCATCTACCCCTTCAGGCAACGTGTCAGCCACGCCTTTTGATTTGGCCACCGGTAACTTTCCCTACCCAGCCGGATCAGCTTCTGTGTTTGGGCCTACGACGCCAGCACATAGCGGTAATGTTCTAGAACAGTCTAACATGGGCGATAACATCTTTGAATCAGGTACCGACTGGGCTGCTGACGACCAAATGTGGTACCTCCCGCCAGGTCCAGGCCTATTCCAGAACATGGGAGAGAATACCAACGTGACAATGACAGATCAGGGAGTTAACGTAGGAGGTGTTGATTTACTTGAGTTTATGGCGATGGACCCACCTTCATTTACTGGCCCTATGGACGGTCCAGGATACTAAGTGTATCCTGTCTAGCTGGACGACGTTGGAGATGACCGTCTGTTCAAGACGAGGGATAGGGGGCAATTCGCCCTCTTTAACAACGGCGCGGCTGAAGATGATACGCGATGCGACATGCATATGTTTAAGAGGTCTCACGGCACGCACAATGTTTCTGTCTCGTCTGTTCTGTTCGGTGTTCTGGATGGAGGCTACATATGTGCCTCCCCAGGTATGAGGTAAGGCTTACATGTATTCGAACATGGGTCTCAGTCTCGCGACACCCCACTTTTCCTATTTGTTGTTCGTCCTGAAAGGTACGTGGGGAGATCTGCGATGGGCTGGAAGCGGAAGCAAAGATACCCTCAGAGGCTTGGGCTGTGTTTGATTTCACATACGACCTTGCTCTCAGATTGCTCTTCCCCTGTTTTTCTTGAAGCGCTTCCTTTTCCTACGAAATGTGCGGAAGGGGTTGCAATATATGTTTGTTCAGTCGCAGTTGCTTTACGGGAATTTACGGGAAATATTCATGGGACTTAAAGGGGCATTGCGGATGGACAAAAGCTGCTGGGCCGAGAGCCTCGCGGCTTATACCTAGCGTGATTTAACGAATCATGAGAAGACATTTCAGCGAGAAGTCGAGCTGATACCAGGGATTTGGTTGATATTATTACCTGAGTAGCGAAAGTAGCGAATTTACATAGTAAAAGCTAGTAAGGGCTTACTGCCGGTGGTCTGCTCTTTGTGCTTTGACGCGGCTTGATCCACTCTGCCTTAAATGACGCTCGACCATAGCAGGGCACGGTACCAGGAGGAGGGAGAATATTATGCGGATCATCAAGTCCTAGGCTAGGTACATATCTAGTGTATGTATGTAGTGATAAAGTGACAGAGCGCTTGGCATATGACTTATATAATCATATACATAAATATTGAAGTTAGTCATCAAATATATTCCGTAAAGACCTTGGCGATATGGTAAGATGATGCATAAGGACGCTACGCGTAGGGCTTATTTTTTTGTCTTCAAAACATGGCATTTATCTCCCCAGGTGGGCCTCATTAGGCCACTACACTACGCTCCCTAAGGTTAAGGGCGTCTGCTGACCGGTTAGTTCCGCTGACGCCAGAAGATTTAGCTTAAATTTCTTTCCAATAATTCCAAAGAGATGGGTAAATTCAATCGATGATGGCGTCAGCATATTTTCACGTCAGTCAGCAGTGCCACGCCACGCAAAAACGTTCGTTTGTGTTCTATTACGGGAATGCTGCGGATAGAGACAATGTATGTGGTTTGTCTACGTAGGCGAGATGGTATGAGAGTATTTAGTTGTTGTTGAACAGCCACTGTTATGGATAAAAAAGGGGGGGTGAGGATGGGGTCGGTGAAGTTGTATGCATACACTACACATGGTCTAGTTCAGGAACCACATGCGATATTAGCAGATATTATTACTACTCTGGGTTGCACGATGAAGAAAATCTATTCCAGACACCAATAACAGCAACGCTTTCCGATACGAGTACTGAAACGCGACAGGGGTGCATAAGGCCAATGGGGGCAGGCAAAGGACGGATGGGGAAGGTTTACAACGCTGGGAGCTGGAGCTGAACCTTTGTCGATGGAGAATAGAGAATGGAGACCCTTGAGGTCTCTGGGTCTAAAAAGTCCCATTGTGGAACTCCGCGCGCGATGTCACCCTACATGGAGTCGCCTCAGCCTAGATGGACTGAAGTGCCCCGGACGCACATACATAATAGGTAGACTGGGTTTTTTTTTGCTGAGCTGGGCTGGCTTAGACAGGCCAGGACTAGGACTAGACAGTCCATATGTAATACATTAATACTACATCGACCGGTTCCTAATGTATGCGGACGCAGCGTCCCGATCCTTCTAAAAACAAGGGCTTCAGGTCATCCGTCACTCGCTGTCGGTCCCGAAATTGGTTCTGATCTGTTTTGCTCTGCTTCGTTTTGCATTTATCGTACCGTCTGTTGTTGTGTTGCTATCGCTACTCACAATCCCATACGCCATGGCCATCCAAACAACAACCGTTGCGAGCTCTTCCTCGGGAACAGAAGCAGAAGCGGCTTCGAACCCGACGACGGCGCCGTCCGTCTCCGTCCTCACGCTCACGGAAAAGGAACTCACGACGACTTTCACCCCGCCGGCGTCGTGTCTCGAGGTGCATCTTACACAGTTGTCGTCGCCGGGGTATGAGCTTTGGCTCAACGAGCCACAGCCCGTGCCGAATTCGAAGTTTGGGAATTGTTATCCATCGGGGTATATTACTGGGTATACTAGTGGTCAGTATGATGGTCCAGTGCGGTTGTTCGCGACTTGTGGTCCTGGGGTGTGCTAACATGTTTTGTAGTATGTGATTAACCTGTTTTACTTCTTACGATGTGTAGATGCTTGGCTGGAATAAGCATCGTGGAGACTTGAGGGAAGAGTTATTAACATGTAGTAGATACAAAATGCCTCGAGTTCTATCGCTCCTATGTTCTCGCCGCTGGTCTGTCCCGAAGGTTGGAACACGGCGCAGACGTGGGCGAATGGATATATAGCTTGTTGCGCCGAGTAAGTGAAGATCTCTTATTTCCTATGCTGTCGTCTACAAGAGAAGCGTATAATATAATATAATACGCAATTATCATACAACGAGGTCTAATTAATAGCGATAGTGGTTTTCAACTTCATCTTCCCGACACTACGGTAGACACCAACCGTCCGGCGTACGGGGGTACCTGCTATAGTAATTTCAAAGTTGGCCAGACTGCTACGGTGACGGCGTATGATAGCGCGAGTGTTACGGCGACGGTCGAATGGGTCGCCTCGGCTACTAACGACCAAGCCTATGCGCATCCCATAGATGGCTTTGCAGTGAGTACGGATGACGACGTAAGTTCACAAGACAATTACTCTCCTACTCTCCAATTAAATTATAAACACGATACTAAACGTCAAACCAGTCAGGATCTACCAGACTCTCAGGTGGCGCAATCGCAGGCATCGTAGTGGGCGTCCTAGTAGCCGTGATCGCTATCCTCGTTGGCTTATTATTTGTCTTGAGACGGTCTCGCCAGAAGAGAAAGCAGCAAGCGTCCTTCGACGGGTCCCAGCAAGTTCAGCCACAGCAAGCAGTTCCTCAAGAAATATACACCAATAAGGAGCCTTTAACCTCACCCAACTCCGAATACCCACAAACGCCATATACCGCCTCTACCGGAATTTATGAGGGCCCAACACCTCCTTACAAGCCTACGGAACATTACGAACTTGATTCTCAGACGCCGAATGAGCTCGACTCGGGATGGGCGGGAGGCGAACTGGAAAATCGGGAGGTGCCGGCGCATAGACGGAATTGAGGTGGAGTTGTATAATAGGGCGGGGAGGGGGGGATATCAACAGACGAAGACGGGATATTTATATTATTACGACGCAGCATTTGTGAAAAAAACTACTTTTCGGTGTGTTGGATTGGATTGGATTGGGGAGTTACAATTTGAGCGAGCATACGAAAACTTACTACGTACCCGAGATCCTACGCTTCTTATACCACGCACGTACCGTTGCATACACGGATATCCTTCTACGTACGAGTAGCTAGCTTTACGAACGAATACCCCATGGCAGTTTTAAATAATACAGGTTTATTATAAAATCTTCCCATCCTCGTTAGTCTATAAGACATCTCTTTCTAATCACATCACGACACTAAAAAAAGGGGGCCCGCAACACTACTGCGTATTAGCCCTAAACTCCGAAGACAGATCCAGAATACCAATAACGAGGAATTTTACGTACGTAATTCGTAATTAAGGAAGGGAGTTTTTATCCAGCGGGGATAACTCAGTTGGGAGAGTGTCAGACTGAAGTCCAAACTTCATCATCAAATCTGAAAGTCGTGTGTTCAATCCACACTCACCGCATCGTGAACAGACTAGGATTAGTCGAGTTACTTTTTGGGGAGTTTATTTCTTTTTCCCCGTGGTCATTTGGCCTCTCCTCGCTTGTTTGCTTTATGGTGTTTGGTCAGATATATAATTACCTTCAAGTGTCTTACGTACCTTAGTTACCTACCTACTCAGTTACTATACGAAGACCCGAAGCATCGTTATCATATATCATAAATACTATGTACTATTATTAATATATTATATATTGTTTCATCACTAGAGAAGCTTATTACACAGTAACTGCCTATGCCTTCCGGGTATTGGTCATATCATAAAAGCACAAGACGAAAAATGAAAATAAGACAAAGGCTCGTGCTAAATGCATATATATGGGTATCAATCAAGATCAGCAATCAGCGTGTCTATGGCTTCCAGCCTCCTATTCGATTTCTGAAGAAACCATTAGGATCTACACTCTCCGATACCGAATGTGCGAATGCTCGGTTCTCTGGACGTAATCGCGCGAAATAGTCCTGCTGATGGAAACCGTAGTTCATGAACACGGGGAGGTAGATGTCGGGTAGAGTCCCGTCTTGTTGCCAGCCGAGTATGCGTTCGCGTACACCGCCGTACTATGACACCGGATTGTTAGTAAATTGCTCTTATAGGCCAAAGGTCAAGAAGGGGTCATGCAGCTTTCGGGTATACTCACAGTATTCTGCAGCGTCTGGTCCATCTTCGCGTAGTCGCCTTGCGGCAAGAAGCTATAGTTCAGTTCGAGAATCAGGCGGTGCGCCTCATCATCCACATCGATTAAATCCGCGCTCCTTGCCTTTGCGGCCTGTGCAATAACCTTCGGGAAGGGCTGGTACGCGATAGAAGCGATGATGCCGGGCTCGAGGAGCACCGTGTCGGTGATGTTTCGCCAGTGGGCGTGAAGGCCTTCCATGACTTCCACGCTGTTTTCAGCCGACGGCATGGGGATCGTCTCGGTTCCGATCTGCACGACGGACAGTGGGACGATGACCCAGTTACTGCCGCCCAACAGCTGGGCGTAGGTCTGCACCTTAGTAGTGTCGAGGATAGGCCCGGCATCAGTGAAGTTCTTGAAGGTTCCCTCGGGGACTACCGGGCCGTCGTAGAAGAGAAACAGGATCCAGGTATCAATAAGGTCGATGTTACCGCGCTCTGCCGTGACGATGACGGCTGCCTTGTTGTCTTGGTTGTACTCGGTGAAGTCCCGCACGGCCTTCAGCAACTTCTTGTCTGTCTCAGGGGAATGAAGGAAGACTAGGTTACCGCCGAAGACGTCGCCTTGTCGGTATAGTTGGAGAACGTATGTGGTTACGATACCAAAGTTATTGCCACCTCCCTTGAGGGCCTTGAATAGGTCTGCGTTCTTGGTAGCAGATGCGGTTGTGATAGTGCCGTTAGCAAGAACGATCTCGTATTCCAGTACGGAGGAAGCACTCCAGCCGTACTGAGCCGACATATACGACAGACCACCGCCGAGAACAAGGCCACCTACGCCCGTGTTTCCGATACGGCCGCCGACAAAGGTCCAGCCGGTTCCCTGAAGTTCGGCGGAAATGCTGTCTAACCGCTGCCCAGGCCCAACTCTGGCTATACCCGTCTCCTGATCCACGATGACCTGCTTGAGTTTCTGGGTTGAGATAAGGGGGCCACCTTTGACACTTGACCAGCCATTATTAGGGTTGTGTCCTCCAGACTTGATAGCAAACGGCTCCGTGTTGTTATTGAGGACCTTCACGATGGCAGATACCTCGTTGGCATCCTCGGGGAAAATAATGCAAGAAGGCTTCATGGAAGAGCACGAAGTAGACCAATAGTCGTTCTGCTCGCTGATATATGATAAATCAAGAGGATCAGCAACGTCAATGTTAGAAATATCCTTCAGGGTAGAGCAGGTGTCAGCTAGAGCTAGCCCTGACAGAGCGATGGCTGAGGCGGCGAGCGCCCAGGTAGATATCATCTCGTCTTCTAGGAGAGACTCCGGACGATGGCTGTATTTTTCTATGTCCCTCGGGACTGGCTAGTCGTGGATAGATGCTAAGGGATCGGTAGTCTACCGTAAGTCCTCTTAACTGGCGGCTGGCTCCCCCTTAATATACGAGACATTTCTTACTGCCAAACTACGAAGGAACATATTACTTAGTCGACTATAGGGAATAGTCGAATATCCTTGATGAAGAACCAGGTTTAAACCTTCACGTCATGTAGCTCCCATCCCTAGATTTGGCTCATTGTCAGGGCCCGCTGGCAAGGATGACGGCGCCAGCGCAAGGTTTCCAAGTTTTTTAAGTCATGTACCTAGAATCAACTTTCGACCTTGCTCGACTGACTATAGTCACGTTAGCTTATCTGCTTCAGACACGTCTTTCCACCTGCATGAGCTCTACATAATACAGTATCAGGTAGTATTAGTTGTGCGCAAACGAGAAAAAAAAAAACTATCCAATAATGGAATCCTACGCAACCTAGCAGGACGCAGCCCGTGGTGCTGAGCCAGTAACTAGACGAGAGTCGGATGCCGGGCATCCGGAAGCGAGAGCCGTCAGATGAGGAAATGTAACGCTTGCGGTTCTGGTTCCTGGGACGGGCGGGTAGTGATTACACTATGTAGGTATGACTTATGTGTCGATTCCAAGGAAGCGGACGAGAGTAGACCAGGAAAAGAAAGGTTGAGGTTTATTGTCGTGTGTTTTCCGAGCTGCGCTAGGGCTAACGAGGACTACGGCTTGCATGGAACGAAGGACTAAATTTGAGTAGGTAGGAAAAATACACTACCTACATAACTAACCGTCGAATAGGTATAACCGGCCGTGGCCTGTTGAATCCCCGTCCCACTTCAGGCAAACGTTTTCGACGAATACATCAGCTACCGGGTTACGCCAATCTACTAGACTTATGCTAGCTGCCCTGCCAAGATCGAGGCTTACGGAGATATTTCAGCCCGTGCTAGCGGGACGGGAGGGGGAAGGGGGAAAAGAGGGGAGAGGGTCGATTTCAATAGTTTCCTCCTGATGACCGGGACGGATGCAGATGCCAAGACTGCATAACCGTCATAGTTTTGCGAGTATACTAAGGAGTTGCGTTTCCCAACCAAAGGGATAACACGGCACTGGCTTCATGTCGGTATGCGGAACTATAATATGTAGGTCTTAAGATCTGGGTATGGGTTAGCACACACACACGATTGTGGCGTTAATAAGATATATCACGTTACACTGCAGTTTTGCTTGGAAAGTCATTTTGTTCGCTGTGAAATGGGTGACGGATGGCTCAAGCGGGATAAGCATGTAAGCGTGTAAGCAGAGCCGCGAGTTGGTGGTTCTGCAGGATTGCGGGATCAGAAAGGTACCGTGTCACGCATATGTACTAGGCAGACCTATTCCTACATATCGGTTACGCTTGCCGCTATCGTATGGGTTAGATTACTTCCCCAAGTATGCCTAGGTTGGGTATGTTTGAGAGTCTCCCGGTTCTGCGGTTTGTATTTATAATAAGAAGTAATTAATAAGAGTACTCATTAATAATAGCATATGGAAGACATACATTTCCTATAACTACCTAACCTAAGTTGATCTATAAGGTAATTCAGACTTGGGAGATAAGAGTTGAAAGTGGAAATAAAATATACACCGTAAAAAGCTATAGTATTAAAGCTATTATAGTATTAATAGACTAACTAACGTCTGAACCTCGGGTCTCTATTCCGGCCTCACGGATCAGATGGTCTAGGATGATGGTCCACTGTCTCCGTATGGAACAAATAACCTGCATACCCTTAGTCATTTGACTCGATTGCGTAGGCGGCCCCATAACTTTTCGTCTAATGTTTTTCAGATTTTGTTTCTATACTCGAGGTAGTATTCCTATTCCCCTTTCACTTCGCCGCCGACGTATCATCTCGTGGCGTTCAATGTGCATCGTACAATCTTACTCCTGCATGGAAATACGAAGACAACAGCTGGATTGGCATTGTGTCTTGGTGTGCTTTAATCTTGATCTCGCATGCTGCGCCGTATTTCTCCTAGGTAATCATATCATATTAGAAAGTAGGTAGAAATTAGGTAGAAGTGGGAGTAAAGAGCCATGCAACCCATCGTAATTATGTATGCAGCCACATCTCGTCCCTCGTGCATCAGCCTATTATACCCACCCATAATGTTCCGAGTCATGCCTCAGCGAAGATGTTTCAAAGCCGGAAATTTCCTTTGACATGTCGTCCCGCCGAAGAGGGAAGTTACCTAAGCATCTTTACATCACCCGACATGTTGGTTTCAGAACGTCATCTTTAATAGGTCTGTCGTGGGGTAAATGGTACCGTTGTATTGGAGAGTTGTTGTCTCTGCTTGATTGCGCATAGCCCAATGTCACATATATCAAGAAATTGGCGTATATTATACATCCCGCTCATCTGAGTGCTTATAGTGACGACGTGGCGTGAGGCTGCTATTCGGTAAGCAGTTCCGGCTTATAGATCTACCGCTAAATAAGATTAGACAGTTCATCGGTATGGATGGTCTCTCACTCATAAATTTGATTGGTAGTGAGTCTATGAGTTAAATTGAGGCGCGTCAGCGTCGCATTATGGTGATGGCAGGTTGATGATAGCTCGAAGGTGTTGTCATAACTCATATGTCACTTATTGACGAGACTGAACATGCTAAAAGATAAGAATTTTGTAACGTTGGTAATAAAACTTTTACTTACTTCAAATAGTTGAAAATCTCACAGGAAGCCGTCTCTAGGTAGATACCTAAATTTCCGTCCAAAAGCTTGCTCTCCTTTTACGTATGTTCGTATATCCCTGTTTCGAACCCTAATATCCGATTTGTTGCCAACTAAAGAAATGGCAATGACACGGCATCACAATCTATCTAACCGGTGGCAATGATTGCCTTTATGATAATATTGTATAACTACGCTGGGATGAAGCATTGTTCTCTGAGCTGCTAGCCATGTAGCATACGATAACAGCTAAAGGTCTCCTCAGAAAAGATTGATTCTTTAACTCTATTAGGTCAATTTATGAGTTGGCCAAATACCTCAAATACTATTATGTAGTGAAGGAAGATATAGGCTATTGGTATTAAACCCATCAAGGCAATGCTATTCTGAGACTTTCACATCATTGTCTTATTGATGAAAATAGAGAATGATGAAAAGTTGGGATTAGATGTATCGTTCATGCAACACAGTTTATTAACTTGCTATAATGAAGACAACAACGCTGGAAGACGTTTGATAATTATAAGTAGGATTCGGTAGAGCATAATGGCCTTGTATATCTGATAGGATTTAAGGCCGCTTAAAATCCACCAGATATACGTCGCATTCAATTTCAAGCTAGAGACTAAAGTGAAAGATAGGTAGGTAATAATAAGAGTTTATTATCACCTAACCGGCGGGGCCATTAGACCCTTTATGCATATTAGAGGCTCACAAGCAAGCTACTACATAGCTGCTAGGTGATTTGTGGATGTCTTATAGCTTCTTATATACCTAGCTGTTGTTTCGTGATCAGGTATAATTCCGAGTTGGTTCATATTCCTCATCACAACTTCTCATGTATTGTAAGTGATGGTGAATGGCTAAAGCTTATTATATTTATTAAGGAATTATACTTTGAACAATGATTAAGTATTGATAAACTTAGAATAATCACTGATTTTATATGTAGAGTGAGCATGTATGAGAAAATAACCTTGCGAGCTGCTCATCAGTGATAATATATTAATCAGATGAACCATTCGCATGATACTTAGCTTAATATGCTATCATAAATGACCTTTGATATACGAGCCATAGATTATCTAAAGTATATATGCGGCGACTATATATAATGACTCGAGGTTGTGGTAGCTTTTATTTCATTCTTCTACCGTTCCCATTCAAGAATCTCATGTCCAAAAACGTATAAACCCTCATCTCACCTACTCTTTTTACACAATCCTCTGTTTCAACCATCAATATAAGGAAGCAACCCCAGATCTCGACCGCCTCCCTAATTTCTCAACATCCTAAGAAGAGGCGAAAACTATACCGACATATAGTTAGGATCATACAAACATCACACCTCGGTGAGGATTAACAGCACCGTCTGCCTTCCCGATTAGGCAGGTCAGAATAGCTGCCAAACTATTTCGGGCTTAGTCCAGCAAGCTTTTACTCCAACTAACTCCAACACCATATTCACGTGAAATGACGTGCTTCGATACGTGCAAAATCCATTTAAAGCGACTTTGATATGTAGTATATAAAATATAATCAATAATACGAATTATGTCGTTGGTCAGGGGGGTTACTGCCAAGTCACGACAACACTAAATTTGGCGATATCTCGAGCTGAAGCTGAGCCAAGCCTAAGTGTTAAAGCTAGCTGCACGATGGACGTCGACGCGGAAAAGAATGCGCAGGCCACGGCCACTGCGTCCCGCGGCACCACCGACCATGTGTATGTCGCGGAAGATAAGCTTCGGCGCTCGTTGTCCGCGCGCCAGGTCCAGATGATAGCTATCGGAGGTACCATCGGGACTGGTCTTTTTCTAGGAACGGGAAAGGCGTTGGCGACGGGTGGACCGGCCTCGTTATTGCTTGCTTATGCTATCGTGGGAGGCATCGTGTTCGTGACGATGCTTTGCCTTGGTGAGATGGCTGCTTTTGTTCCAGGTAAGAAAGATATGCCGATAGTAACCGAACTTACAACGAACTGTATCCTGTATCTATACTAACTTACTTACCCCTTAAAGTGGCTGGCTCCTTTTGTTCCTTCTCGGCGCGTTATCTAGATGACGCATGGGGTTTCGCTCTGACGTGGAATTACTGGTTTAACGATGCCGTATCCACGGCTGCTGATCTAGTTGCCTTGCAGCTAATCCTCCAGTATTGGACTGACACCTTTCCGTGGTACGCCTTGGGGCTTATCATCTGGTTCTTACTCATTTTGGCCAATATTATAAACGTACGGGCCTATGGTGAAGTGGAGTACTGGCTGTGTCTCCTTAAAGTCATCACCATTGTCATCTTCATCATCCTGAGCATCGCTGTAAACGTCGGCGGAAACACGACGCACGAATACATCGGTGCGCGAAACTGGTATATCGGCGATGCGCCCTTCGTGGGAGGTATCGGTGGATTTGCTAGCGTCTTTGTAACCGCGTCTTTTGCCTACGGTGGCACCGAGTCGATCGCTATTACCGCCGGCGAGACTAAGGATCCGGCTCGCCAACTACCGCGTGTTGTGAAGAATGTCTTCTGGCGGATCCTGTTCTTCTATATCCTTGGCTCCCTGATGATCGGACTTAACGTACCGTATAACTACCCGAACCTCAACTCTAAAAACACCCGTACCTCTCCTTTTACTATTGCTTTCCAGATGGCCGGGTCTAAAGTAGCGGGGTCCTTCGTCAACGCTGTTATCCTCACAAGTGTTATTTCGGCAGGAAACCATGCGCTTTTCGCCGGGTCTCGTCTATTATACACCTTATCCATTAACGGCCACGCGCCCAAGGTATTCGGGCGTTTGACTCGATTCCAGGTTCCTTGGGTATCGGTCCTCTTCACGTCGCTCATTTCTGGTCTGCTGTTCGGCGCATCTTTTATCGGTGCCGGCCAGCTGTGGACGTGGTTACAAAACCTTGTTGGTGTCTCCAACCAGTTATCATGGATCAGCATTGGTATCGCATCGCTACGCTTCCGTGCCGGCTTAAAGGCGCAGGGAAAGGAGCATCTACTGCCATTCAAGAACTGGACGTATCCGGCAGGACCAATCATCGCCATAGTACTTAACAGCTTTATCGTTCTAATCCAGGGATGGAGCTGTTTCAGTCCGACTTTTAATGCTGTCGATTTTGTCAGTTTTTACATCGAGTTGCCCTTATTTGCCCTGATGTTCGTCGCGTGGAAGTTGATTAAGAAGACGAAGTTCAAGAGGGCGAGTGAGATGGATCTGGTTACTGATGTGTATACGAAGGACGACGTGGAGCCGGAGGAGGATGGATGGGCTGGAAGGGCTAAGAGAATTGGTGGCTGGTTCTGTTTTTAGTTGTGTTACCTGTTACCCGATTTATTTAGTTATGGGCTAGCTATTTTCAATATACCCTCTGATATTCGTTTCTTGTAAATTTTCGACACTTCTATATTGTCTAATAGACGTGTTAATAATGGTAATGGAGATAATATCATAATTTTCGTAAAATAAGTTTAACAAGGGTCCGGGTCATGTGTTAGTGGAAGAGCTCCGAGACCGAGGCCGAGACCGAGACCGAGACCGGGGAAATAAATTCAAACCGCCGCTAATTCAAAAGACTTTTACTATGTATAAACATTTAGAATAATTGGGGGTTTCTTTACTATTCCATTTTACGACTAAACACGATGTCGTATGGATCCGTAAGTGCGTCAGAGGGATCTACGAAGGATTCCGATACCCTCGTTCAATCATCGCAGGTTGGAGACGATGTTGAAGGCGGAAGCATGGCCCCGCCTATCGGTGAACAGGACCAGGCAGATGGTCTTGTAGAGCATGGCGATGAACAAGGCCAAACTGTAGGGCAGAAATTGAAGGGATTCTACGAGAGGAACATTGGTTTATTCTTCGTGTTTCTTGCCCAGGTTTTCGCATCGCTGGTACGTCAAACGGTCTCACTCAAAGTCAAGTATGGATACCTTAGGTACTAATGACGAAATAGATGACGATGACAACACGACTGCTCGAGACGGGCTTCGAGACGAAGTTCCATGCCTTGCAGATCATCTTCGTGCGCATGCTTGCGACGGCGATATTGGGTTCTTTGTACATGTGGTATAAGAAAATCCCCGACTTTCCGCTTGGCCGTCGCGATATCCGGGGTCTCCTGGTGTTGCGGGGACTGGCTGGCTTCACCGGCCTTTTCTGTTCTTACTGTAAGTTTGATCTCTCTCTATGATCTCTATGATCTCTATATGCACTTGGATGAAACGACCGGAGCTGACACAGGTTATAAGACTCGCTTTCGTATTTGAACATATCAGACGCCACGGTGATTTCCTTCCTGGTACCAACTATGACCGCTTTCATATGTTTCATCGCTCTAAGAGTAAGTAGAGCGAGCACCCGAAGCTATATTTTAAGCAGATCTTATTCTAACTTGTTAGGAACCATTTACGGTGAAAGAGGCCATAGCGGGTTTGATCGCATTCGCTGGCGTGCTCTTCATCGCCCGACCAACGTTTCTCTTTCCGCAGCATAGAGCACATGAGCCGGAGCTCAACGGGACCAGGATATTTATGGCAGATCAGCCCAAGGGCATAGTCCCCTCCGTACCTGCGACGCCGGCTGAACGCTCGATTGCCGCACTCTTGGCCGTCATCGGCACTTTTGGCGCTGCTGCTGCGTACTCCACGATTCGAGTTATCGGGAAGCGCGCGCACTCGCTCGTGAGCGTCAACTACTTCGCTGTTCTTGCGACAGTTGGATCGTTTGTTATCATCCTCGTTGTTCCGGATTTGCACTTCGAGATCCCTCAGAATGTTACGCAATGGTACAATACTCCTTTCGTTTTCCGTTTTATTTGGCAGTTATGGCTAATACTCTGTAGGGCTCTACTGGTAGCCATAGGTGTTGCGGGGTTTTTGCTACAGTTCCTCCTGACGGAAGGCCTGCAGAGGGAGAAGGCGGGTAGAGCGACGAATCTGATCGTAAGTCATTATTATACAAACACGTGTGAGGTTTGAAACTAACTAGGGGTCCTAGTATACGCAAATGGTTTTCGCGCTTATCCTTGAGAGAGTGGTCTGGGGCACAACACCTCCGGCCGAAAGTCTCTTTGGTAGTGCTTTAATTATTGGGTCTGCGATATGGGTTAGCCTACAGAAGAACAAGGCGGCCACCAAGCAGAAAGCTCTGGTCGTCGACGAAGAGCGGAGCCTTTTAGGGGCTGATGCTCCTACAGAGAGTCATGAGGACTAATGTTTTAACGAAGTGATGTTCCGCTAGATTTAGCCCTATTGAAGTGCCGCGTAGAGATAGAGTTGTATACTACCGTGCTTCTTTGCTGATCGGACCCCCGCAGTATTAGTTACGACCTCATTGTCAAATCTGTGTTAATGGAGCAGTTATCCAGCCTGGAAATCCCCTTGTGTGGTCCCTTTAAACCTCCACCAATGTCCATTCAAAGGAGGGGACATTTCTCCAACTGGAGATCCGATAATAGGAGTCAAACGCAATGCGATGCTACTACCTAATAGCTGCAGCCAACCGCTTACACATGCAGGTTGAACTCACCTAGCATTTATGCAGGAAACTGTAGATCTCAACGGTCAGATGCGGCTCGACGTCAGTTGATGGTCTTGAGGGGAAACGCATTGATGCCTAATGAAGACAAGTTTAAAGCATATTGTTGTCACTAGGACAGAACCAAAGGAAATGCTAGAAGTTATCATTGAAGTTTTATTTTCCATCTAAAAATGGCTGCGACCGAGTCATCCTATTCGACACCCAAGTGGTGGAAAGAAGCTGGTATGCTAATCGAATTATTTGATCCTTGAATATACCCTTGAATGGCTTATTCCTGCTGCTTAAATCGATGTTATATCATAGAACTTCCGTGTTGGTGAATGGAAACTGACCTTCGAACTCCTAGTGGTCTATCAGATCTATCCAGCAAGCTTCCAGTGCCAGGTAGGTACATCTCGAGGCCGTCCTGCCAGAATAGTATTAACTATGTATAATCCGGTGTAAAAAGCCTGGAGTGACCTCAGGATGGGGTACCGTAAAGGGTATTACTTCACGGCTGGACTACCTGAAGTCCCTGGGCATTGATGTGGTCTGGTCGTCACCTATCCTTAAATCTCCACAAGCAGACATGGGTTATGATATCGCCGACTACAAACAGCTTGACGAGAGATATGGGACACTAGAGGACATCGACGAGTTGATTGCCGAGCTTAAGAAGCGCGACATGAAACTCATGATGGACTTGGTGGTGAATCATACCAGTAATGAGCATCCGTGGTTTCTCGAGAGTTGCGCAAGTATCGACAGTCCTAAGCGCAGTTGGTACATATGGAAGAAGCCAAAGAGCATCGGCCCTGATGGCACACCGGAGCCACCAAACAACTGGGCGCAGATTCTGGGGGAAGCCAATTCCGCCTGGACGTATGACGAGAAAACCGGCGAATTTTATTTAAGTCTTTTCACGCCGGAGCAGCCAGACTTGAATTGGGAAAACCCTGACGTGCGGGCGGCCGTTTGGGATGTAATGCATTTTTGGAGTGGGTAGCATATTCATTTGCCTCTTTTTTATTTTTGCTCTAAGATCAGAGCTTGTACAATGTTAACCCTACTGCAGTGACTCGAGGCGCATCTGGTTTTCGAATGGACGTCATCAATCTAATATCCAAGGCGCCTGGCTTTCCCGACGCGGATATAGTATTGGATCCCGGACACAGGTACCAACCTGGATCCAAATACTTCGTAAATGGGCCGAGGCTACACGAATTCCTACGAGAGATGTACCGGGAGGTGTTAAGTAAGTACGACACGATTACAGTCGGCGAAATGCCCGGAGTTAGCGACGAGAAGGAAGTCCTGCGGAGCGTCGGTGCCAATTCGGAGGAGTTAAGGATGATCTTCATCTTCGATCTAGTCGACATCGACAAGCCGAACGTCAGGATGGCCCTTAAGCCCTGGGACGTCAAAGAGATGAAGTCGATTATCACGAGGTGGCAGCGGGTGATGATAGATAACGACGGCTGGAATTCAGTGTTTATTGAAAACCACGACAATCCTAGATCAGTCTCGCGGTATACTGATGACAGCGACGAGTGGCGAGAAAAAGGGGTTAAGCTTCTTGCTCTAATGCAGACCACTCTTGGAGGTACGCTTTTTGTCTACCAGGGCGAGGAGATCGGCATCCGCAATGCTCCTACGACTTGGGACATTTCCGAGTTTAAGGACATCGAGACCATAAACTACTGGAAGAAATGCGAGAAGCTTTATGCAGGCGACAAGGAGAAACTCGCCTATGGCCGCAAGGTAATCGACATGAAAGCGCGTGACCATGCTCGAACTCCTATGCAGTGGACCTCAGGGGAGAACGCAGGATTCTGCGACCCGGGTACTAAACCGTGGATGCGAGTCATGGACGACTACCAAAAAGTAAATGTCGAAGTTCAAATCAAAGCAGACGACCCGAATGAGTTTTCCGTCTGGCAGTTCTGGCAATGGGCTCTCAAACAGAGAAAAGATCACGCGGACGCCTTTGTGTACGGAGACTTCCAGGAGCTGTCGCCCGAGCACCCGGAGGTCTTTGCATATATTCGTGCAAATGGTAAGGGGGATCGCTGGCTCGTTGTTCTCAACTTTTCTAAGAAAGAGCTCGAGTGGACATTACCCTCGGATTTCGAGGTCGAGTCTTGGACTGCCGGCAATTATAGGAAAGGGGCTCCGGAGAAACCGAAGCAGTCGGGTGTGCCTTTGAAGCCTTGGGAGGGCGTATTGGGGAAGCTGAAATAGCCCCTGAACTACATATTAAAGTTAGGGATATAATAGCCCATAAAGTTAGGCAGGATCGATAGGTAGTTATCTCTGTACTTGTCCAAGTTACGTGTCAATTCACTCTACAACGTTCCTTCTGTTATGTGACAACTAAAGCAAACAAGCAGTCACGTTGACTTATCTTAGGTACCTAGGTACCTATACAATAACAGTCACTAACTGGAAGGTTATGAATTGAAAAAATTGCTGTGAGCTTCAACAAGTTTCCGGAAACTTCGAAGTTGGTCGAGTGGTGACGGCTGCTCTTCCCGTAGGTTGACTCCTGGCCCGCAGACGGGAAGGTAGGAGCAGAGCTTAGATCAGGGTAGACGCATGTCCCCTTTGCGGAGCGCCTATCCGAGTCGCAGGCAGGGAGGAGGCCTATCGAGAACTTCGCGCAGCCGAGGGTTCGATGCTGACGAGTGTCGAGCCTTTACGCTGTATTTTTTTTCTTCTTCTTTTTTTTTTTTTTTTTTTTTTTTTTTTTTTTTTTTTTTTTTTCGCCTCTTACCTACTTTCTCTCTTTTGTTTTCAAGATTCCTCATAGGTAATTTGATTCTAATGCATGCGTAAATTACATTAATTACCTAGCTCGTGAGATCTGAATTTGTACTTGTGAATTTGAAGCTGAGCTACACTTGAGTATATAATTGGACAAAGTTGAGGCGGTCCTGCTGTGTCACTCCTGTCGTGTCGCAACAACCATTATGCATTCGTTAAATAAATAAAGTGTTTATTGTCAAGTATATTCATATTTTCTGACGTATGTCCTTTAGGGTTATGATATATATCCAGGTATTAATACAGGCGGAACTTGTGACTTAGACAATGATTTGGCTAAATGTTTTACTTCATATAACCGGTAGATAATCTTCATTATTGAGTTGTGGACGTCTTGGCAAAAGCTCTCCCATACTGACAAGACATTGGTTAAGCGGGAAGACAGTATATATTAACTAATTATAGTTACTATAGTCTTCACATTCAGTGCTGAGGAAATGCCATGTTACCATCCTCCAAGCTCCTAAAAGGGGTTCACTGCATTTAGTCTTCTAGGCTAGCCTTGGTAGGGTCCCAAGCAATAGGGGCATATACGTCCGCGTTCAACTTCTCAATGTCCTCCTGGGATAAGTCAAAGTCGTAGATTGCGGCGTTCTCGATAATTCGGGAAGTTGTAGCGCTCTTGGGAAGCGGGAGATAGCCCTTCTGCAAGCTCCATCTAATCAAGATCTGAGCTTGAGTCTTGCCGTATTTCTCGGCGAGGCTAACCAGAGTAGGGTCGCCGAATCGTTCACCCCTGACAACGGGACAGTAGGCCTCGACGGCGATGTTGCGCTTCTTAGACCATTCGGCGATGTCCTCGCGACGGCACCATGGATGAATCTCCCACTGGCCGACTGAGATGACACCTCCCTTGCCCTTACCGCCTCGTTCGGCTTCAAGTTCCGCAATGTGCTTTTCTAGCTCGTCGAGATGTTGGACACCATAGTTACTGACACCGATAGATCGGACTATAAATTATCAGTAAGCCACACCAATAATATTCCCAAAGGCGAAAGGCGACAAGAGAATAAACATACCCTTGCCCTCCTCAACAGCCTCCACGAGTGCTTTCCACACTCCTTTTCGGGCCGCTGAGCCGCCATATGGCGCATGAATGAGTATGAGATCGATGTAGTCCAGGCCCGCAGTTTTCAGACTCTTGTCCACTTGTGCCTTGGCGGCATCGTATGACATTAGCTCTGGGGGAATCTTGGTTGTGAAATAGATCTCAGACCGCGGTATTCCGCTGGCGTTGATAGCTTTACCACATCCTGCTTCGTTGCGGTAAAAGACGGCCGAGTCGATGTGGCGGTAGCCGGCTTTGAGTGCATCCGCAACGACTTTCTCGGTCTCCTCTGCCGGACTGGATATCGGGAATTAGATTAGACACACAAATAGCCTTTTAAATTTACTTAGGTAACACCGGACTCACGTTAAATATACCTAAGAGGTGTTAACTCGACCGCCTAGAGTAATATGGGTCTATGGGTCTATGGAATATAAAGCACTTACACCGAAGCCCAATAGGGGGATTTCGTAGCCACTGTTTAGCTTGAAAGTGGAATTGATAGTGTAAGAGGTCGCCATGGTTCTGCTAGGGGGGTAGCTGGTTAGCTTGATGTAGGGGTACCTGGCTAAGGTTACAGCCGCGGGATTATAACACAGTCTTGGCCGAAAGCTTGTCTTAAGCAGGGCAGAATAAAAGTTGATCCTGTATAAGCTCATGGCCGAGGTAGAGTATAGGTATGCTGGGAAGAAAATAAGTACTTGCCTAGGTTAACTTTCTTTACCTGGGAAGAATACCGCTACTATTTTGGCTATAGGAGGTTATAAGCAGAGGACAGTCTGGTCGGTGGCACACTGAGGAGGAGGAAGAGAGAGATCAGTTTGAAGGAAAAGCTCCAAGACCAGAGACTAAATAATGGGCATCTATTTATACATAGTGAATCAATAGTCGCTACCTACTAATTGATTATCAAGCCATACATTATTTATTTAGGCCCGAAGAGTCACCATCTTAGTCGGCTTTTGCTTTAGCTATCTCCGCTGTCTCCTCGACGAAGAATACTTACTGGTGCATCACATATCGCCTTTTCCCCCGAGCATCTCGTAGAATAAGGTAGCGTCGACGGAGATAGTGACCGCCTTTAATTGAGGTCATACTTAAATCCTAGCTGTTACAATTTTCACCTTGGAAGCTACGGGAATACTAGCGGGTGATACTGACGGGTCTGACGAGAATTGCCATAAGGGGTGTCGTACATACTTGACATATTAGGTGGGTAGGTATCTCCTTGCGGTAAAGATGTGGCGGGGATACCTCTGCTTAACTGGTTCGATGGGTTACGTCCCACAGGGTTCCCGCGCGCGCAGCTTCGCTTGGGATGCTGATAATATGCGAAATAGAACGGTAGCCCCCAGCAAAATTTTATAACGTAGTCTCGACACTTTCCCTCGAATGTTTTACGTAAAAAAGAAACCCCGCTGCATACGGAACCATTCATCTAGATACACGGACTTTGCTGATGGAGATTACGGGACAATTCTGTCCGATTGAAGGCTATAAATCATATTATCACGGGTATAAGCACCAATATAAGAGGCATACATCGACTTCTCATTTAGATTGACGTCATTGACCCCTAATAGCTTTTTATATATGTAGTACATTAGGTACCTATTGTTATCTACAGCTTAATAACAAGTACCTAGGTATTATCGCGTAGCGGGGCGGACTAATGGTGGGGTGAGGGGCATTTCTTTCAATAGGTAAGTACATACACTAGTTCTATCATGTTACAATGAAAGCTTCATTAAAAAGCTTCATTAAACACTACCTCAATCGTTGTCCATTAGAACAATCACTGTGTACGCATTGAAAATCATTCGCACGTTCTATTCGCTACAAATTCAAAGCTCTTTAAAAGTCAGTGCTGAATCTTAAATACAAACTACCTTACTATCTTCATAACTATTTATTTCTCATAACTATCTAATAAACATCTACTTTTATCTAATATCCTCCCTCGAAAGTGGTGCGCTCGTATATTTTATATATGATAATATAGTAGAGATTTATACCGATAAATAAGTCGCCAGCTATGCAGCTTGTTGGATCAAAGGCGTCGCAACGCCTAGATGAGATAGGCGAGGGGAGCGTCACTCTGCTCCCCGTAGAGCCGGAAGACATGGTAAGTCTGCATCATCATCAATTGATACTAACTATAGCATCTAACATATACCAAGTGGCACGCAAACAATCTAATAGGACCCGAAGACGTCGTCAAGGCGCATGCGATCCGAAAAGTGACGACAGAAACAAAGACCGGTAGCACAATTTCAGAGAGGGTACATACCGATCTTACGATACGAGTCACTTCGACCTTTTTCGACCCAGGCGCGTCACAATTACATGTATCAGGCACTGTGATCGTCGAGAACAACTTTGTCAGCCTCGGACAGTACCACACGCTTGACCTCGAGCTGAACCGGCCCTTCACCTTATGGAAAAACTACGGTTGGGATTCAGTAGCAAAAGAAACGCTCGTAGATGCGTTGAAACAAGACAAGGAGGGCGCCGTGGCGGCTGTTGTGATGCAGGAGGGTATCGCGAATATCTGCTTGATCACCGAATATCGGACCGTACTCAAACAAAGGGTAGAGAGTACGATACCTAAGAAGAGGTCGAGCAGTTCAGAACAGGACTCGGGAATGAAGCGATTCTTCGAAAAGACCTTGAGCACCTTAATGCGCAGCATAGATTTCTCGGTCCCTCGACCGCTACTACTTGCTAGTCCCGGGTTCGTCGCGGGAGATTTTAAAAAGTACATATCGGATGAAGGTGCCCGAAGGACTGACAAAACAATGATGGCTATGGCCAAAGAGGCCACAGTAGTACATTCGAGTTCTGGACACCTACACAGCCTAAACGAAATACTCAAAAGCTCCGAAGTCATGGCAACTATGAAAGATATGAAGTTCTCTAAGGAGACGAGATTTATGGATGACTTCTTTGACAAGTTACGAAAAGACGATGGTCGAGCCTGGTACGGTACGGTACCGGTTGAGAAGGCCGTTAAGGAAGGGGCCGTTGGTAGAGGAGGTGGTGTCTTGTTGATCAATAATTCACTATTCCGAAGTATGGATATCGCGACAAGGAGGAGATACGTGGCTATGGTTGATAAGGTAAAAGAAGACGGAGGAGAGGCCAGGATACTTAGTAGTGATCATGAGAGCGGGCAACGATTAGATGCTTTAGGAGGCATCGCTGCTATACTTACATACCCTATGCTAGATCTAGACGAAGACGACGAAGCAGCTGCCGATGGAACTGCTGAGACGGAGGAGAACATGATAATATGAATGCTTCTATCTACCACCCTAATTAAATTATCACTTGAAGCAATATTTTACTGTTGATTATCGTTGATTATCATGTTCTGTACATATGTACGCGATCTCCTCGTGTAGCTCGATTAAATAGTCAAGTGGGTGATGTGTTGGAGGCATATATAATGACGCACATAAGTCTCGAATTGCGAAGATGGCGCGCATCAAAGGAACCCCCGAAATTAATTGAATTGAAGTACAAAGAAAAGTGGGCTCTACGTCATTATGCGCCGTTTCTTGTCAGTTCTAAACGTCTTAGTTATAATAAGCCGTTCGACTAGGATACACAGGCACTGGTTACACTAACCAAACTGACCAGGTTGATAAGGCAGATACGGTGTTCAGCTCAAGAGGAAATACGGAACTCTATTAACTTGGCGATTTCCGTTTCGATCGTTCCGATCGAAGTTATCCTAATGCAACGCATCCTTTCCAACTCGCGCCACCCGCGGCATTCCATCTTCCTGGCCTGACAAGACAGCCTTAAATCACTCTACCATGCATAGCAATTGTAATATAATATTGTTGTTACCTATAATTCTCAAGACTAGCTAGTTGGGATGGCTACTATTCCCCTGTGCCCGAATGTATATTTAACTCTTATTTACGATTGAGACATATGAGCACTAAGTCTTTAAGGCATTCCTTTGACTACGGATGCGACGGAGCGAAACATAGCAAGGCAGACTACGCGCTACGATATCTTGCAGCAAACCTGAAACCACTGATCGCGAAATATCACTTGAGCTAACTGTCTATTCTACGATTATATATTATATACGTACGCGACCAGAGCGCCATTGCGCCTAAGCGAAAGACCAAATTTGGTCCCTATTCCCAGGTGACCGCGGTCGTGGCAAGATAATGGAATATGTCGACCTCTTTACCGGCCACCGAGGTCGCGCGCCCTCAACAAGACGATCTCACCGCTACCCGTGTTAATACAAAATCGAACCACAATGGATTGGACTCGCTTCATGATCTAGGGCAGTCGCCTACCATCTCTGATGATCCGAGTATGTTTATGGGTCACCACCCCATACCACACTTTTATTCATTTTATAAACGTTTTAGCAATCTTACCTTAGAGGTTATTTCGCTAACACTCCACCTTAAACAAGGTACTAGCACACTGCTTAAAGGTTCTGCCAAGAGAGGCACAAATAAGCTTACGCGGAAGGATACGGGAGGAAAGGATGTAAAAGATAGAAAGGACGCAGATCCCGGGGTGCGGACCAGCGCGCAACCTACACCCTCGCCGGCGCTCGATCCATTATCTCACGTATGTTTTATCTCCTAGTTTCCCGACAATGGGAGCTGACTCGTTGATCCTAGCATATATTTGCAAGGACCAATACCGAACGATCTATCGCCTCGAGGTTTCGCAACTCTGGACGGCCTGATAGCCCTGCCAATGAGGCGCTACCTCGTCTTTCCTCCGATATGTCAATCAAGCAAGTGACCCCTCAGCTCGATCACGTTAAGGATAGAAGGTATGTTTATAAGGCTAGCTAAGCGAAGAGTTTGTCATGGACTAATAAGTTATTTGAAAACAGAAAGGGAGGTTTCCTTAGTCGCCTTAGCATGATCAGCGGCAAGAAGAAAGACAATGGTATTCACGACGATGAATCCGAAATTAGCGAAATGAGGACCGAGGGCGCGAATGCTGTTGCTTTTTCTTCTACTGTTGGCGCCGGCGGATATATCCCTCACCATAAAGAACCACCGCGATATATCAGGGTTAGAGCACAGAATAAGAAAGTTAAGGAGTTCAACCGCATGTTTCTCGCGCAGGAGCTCGTAGGCACGCAACAGCCAATTCAGGATGGTCAGATAGGCACCGACGACGGAAGTGCAGCAGTACAGGAGCCTAGCAAGGATGAACCAGCACCAGGAGGCCCTATCTGGGCTGTTGAGTTTAGCAAAGATGGAAAATACCTAGCTACTGGAGGTCGGGACCGGGTTGTACGCATATGGGCGGTTATCGCAACACAAGAAGATAGGAAAGTGGACGAAGAGGAAGAAAATGCTACCAGCGAGAAAGAGGAGCGTCTAAGCGCGCCGGTATTTCACGCGAAACCGATTCGGGAATTTGTTGGCCATGCGGGCGATATTCTCGATCTCAGTTGGAGCAAGAATAACTTCCTCCTTTCTTCGTCGATGGACAAGACCGTTCGCCTATGGCATATAAGTAGACAGGAATGCTTGTGCACATTTAAGCACAAGGACTTTGTTACGTCTATAGCCTTCCATCCTCGGGACGATAGATTCTTCCTAGCAGGTTCTCTCGATTCTTACCTGCGACTATGGAGCATTCCAGATAAAGCTGTCGCTTATTCGAGCCAGCTCTCCGATTTCATTACTGCCGTTGCATTCTCTCCCGACGGAAGAACTGCAATAGCAGGGTGTTCGAACGGATTTTGTATGTTTTATGAGACCGAGGGTCTCAAATATCATACACAGATTCACGTGCGGTCATCACGAGGCAAGAATGCTAAGGGGAGTAAGATCACGGGTATCGAAACGATGGCATTCCCTCCGGACAGCCCGGATGGTGTGGTGAAGGTTCTCATCACATCAAATGATTCCCGGATTAGGATCTACAATATGGGTGACAAGAATCTCGATTTGAAGCTCAAGGGCCACACAAATGCGTGTAGCCAGATAAGAGCGACGTTCAGCGACGAGGGTAATTATATCATATGTGGAAGCGAGGATAAGAGAGCGTTTGTATGGTCTACCAGCTCAAAACTTGCCGAGAACAAGGAAAAGAGGCCTTGCGAATACTTCGAGGCCCATTCCGACATTGTTACTGGAGCCATTTTTGCTCCGACAGCGACACGACAGTTATTGCAATCTTCTGGCGATCCTATATTTACGCTATGCAATCCTCCTCCAGTAACATTGCTCAGCAAAGAGGAATCGGCCGTGACTCGAACGGTAGAGTCTCAAGATACGCAGTCTGAAGGCTCAACCAAGATAAAAAAGCCCGAAGAGTCTCCAGTGTATATCGCACGCTCCGCTCACTACGATGGTAATATCGTCGTAACTACTGATCACGCAGGTCTAATCAAAGTCTTCCGCCAAGATTGCGCCTTCGTCAAGCGTCGCCATGATAATTGGGAGACTGGTTCGACGTTCTCTAGGAAGCTCGGAAGAGATAGTTTGCTCGGACGAAGTGGTAGCATAGCCACGCGAATTAGTGCTAGTAGCCGAGATCCGCATTCTCGCCGAGGTTCACTCACGCAACCGCTTCAGGGTATATTCCAGGCCAACTCGGATAGAATCAATACATGGCGCTACGGCGTCGAAGGACATCCGGGTAGGCCGGTCTCCCTAGCTATATCAACCCCTACGCGTAGCGAACGGTCCTTATCGCCGAGTAAAGCGGCTCGTACTCCCGCAAATTCCACCCCGAATACAAGAAGACATCATTACGCAAGCATGTCAGTTCCTAGTGCACCGGCGAGTCCTTCCTCTGGTAAACCAATAAATGGCATTACCGACCGTTCAAATTTACGAGATTCACTGGTACCACCAACACCGAGCTTCTCATTCCGACCACTCGACGAGGAAGAAGATGAACTGCGTTTAGACCCTGCTGGCGCGAGCTATTCGTTCTGGAATCTTAATAGATGGCGAAACAGCAGCCAGGCGCGAGGTAATGGCATTCATGGCCTAACTCCTGATTCGGCGCATAACCGTTCTGCAAGCACCGGTGTGGCCTCTGACGTAACGGTGGGCAAAGATAGTCGACGGAAGAGCACAGCAGTAGATACGGAAGAATCCGATAAAAACGACTCGTCAGAAAAAGCTAATCGCCGCAAGAGTTTGCCGGCGGGAGCAATATTGTCACGGGCCCAGGAAGGTAACCATCTGGCTCCCATCAAGCCCGCTGCTCCTCGACCTGACTCGTACGTCAGCCACGTGAGCTCGGAATTAACCAGCGAGGACGGCGAAGATATGCAGTGTCGTACATGCGGCAGCCGAGAGTTCAGGATGAAGAAAATCGGGGGCAAGAAGAAGCTACTTTGCGGGAAATGTGGCCGGGCAGTTTGATCTTACCGCGGCTAGACGATGATGTACAAATATATAAATGAGATACCTATGCTTAAACTATTACACGGTTGTACGAAGAAGAGCGGGTTTTGGAATGATTGGTTTGGTTACATATACGCATGGCGATGGACGTTGGTTTCTTTCTACATATCAACAGGGTTTTGGAGTTGATGAAGAGGACTTGGGGCATTGGTATTGTGATATTGATCATCGGGGCGGAGATACCACGATCAATTTAAATACTGCTCTTTGATATATATATATACCTTTCAATTCACGAAGTTTCTCACGTTTTAACTTAGTAGAAACGAATACGTTTCTGACATGTTTCTATTTCGTTTCTTTTTAAATTTGACCTTGACTTATTTGATCCTGGCTCTGACAGTGCAGTTTCGGCTCCTCGTTCTTCATTGGCCTTATAAGTCTATTAATTAATTATCATTTTCTCGTAACCTGTTATTATAAGCCAGCACGAGACAATGGACCTACCACCAACTAATCTTCACTCTACCGTATTTAATATCGTCGATCATTCATACAGACGTCTTCAAGGCATCATCGTTGCAATAGTCACAACCCAATTGACTTTAAAATATACCTAATACTCATTACTCAACTATTACGAGCTATCCATACAGCAACAACAAAGGAAAATAGGATATTCAAAAAGTAATTAAGACAAAGACAGGTATCATCACCACCGCCAACCAATGCTCTTCCCTAGCAACTTTTTCAAAAAATGAAGAAGCCAATCTGAGTCCTGGGGGTATCTCCGGGTATATCCACATCTGGAACTTCCTGATTACGACTTCGTCCTTCCTCCATTCCCATCTCCATCATATTATACAAGACGTATCCAAAAGGAGTGACTATCACACTTCATACACCCTCTAGATCCTAACAGCGTTGCCACTTTCGGTAGGAACAGTAGTGCTCACGGGGCCGGTGGTGGAGATGGGTCCAGAGTACTTCCCGTCCACAGTCCTCTCATTGGTGTAGTTACCGTTGGTTTGGTTTCGATTGGTGTAGTTGCCATTAGTGTAGTTTCCGTTTGTGGTATTGGAGTTGGCAGCGTGCGGCTTGCGGGTAACTTGGGGAGCACCAGGAAGATCGGTACTCTTGGACGCCGCACCGATAGAGAAGACGGGGCTCTCCCAACGCTCACCCTTTCGGGCCAGTTCCTTGTACTCGGTAGCCTTAGAGCTGATACCGCCAGGCAGATGGATGTTGGGGAAGATACTGTCCTCCCTAGTGACGGCCATGTTGACCTTCTTGTCGGCCGTAACGGCCTCTGCCTTCTTTTTACCTTGGAAGAATTGCTTCTGAACCGCATTGAAGTATCGGTTGTAGATGTTCGGGGCGTTTTTGGGGTCGGATCGAGCCTCATCGACCGCACGATCCGCCTCCTGCTTGACCTGCCATAGCAGTTGATCAAATTTGTTGAACTGGTCTTTGAGCTGCTTCTCGGCGGTCTTCTGGATCACTGGGCGGAGAACCTTGAGCATAATGGGCTTGAAAAGAGTGAAGAGGATCTTGTGGTTGGACTTGACAAGGTTGATCTTGAGGTTCTTAACATCGACATCAACCTTGTCAAGTTTCAAGAAGTGCTGCCCGTCCTTGTCGTCCGCAGTAGACAATTTCAGGCGGAAGCAGAACCCATCGCCACCCATTTTGATATTAGCAACGCCGGAGTCGGTAATGGAGGGGAAGCCTTGCTTGTGCTTGACATAGAAGCTGACATCGGGCAGGTCCATCTGGATTCCAGTGACTTTGACGTCGATCGTGTTCTTGTTCTTGCTCGCAATCTTCTTGCGACCCCAGCGGAAGTAGTTTTCGCTGGCGACTTCAAGGACGTTCGGCATGAAGTTGTCACTCTCCAAAACGAGATTCTCCACGACGGCATCAATCTCGCTGTCGGAATACTCGATCCTGGGGATGGGAATGTATGCAATTTTCTCAAAGGCGGCCGGGAGGATGACATCAGTCAGGTCTTTGATCAACTGAGGCTTGAAAGTTGCCTTGCCATTCTTATCGTGGCCAAGGTCGTTGAACAACTTCTGTACCGAATTCGCGAAGGCCTTGTTTTGATGGTCCTGATCGAACTGATCGGCCAAGAACTTGAGCTCGTCAACAACGCGATCAGTGTGAGCCTTGTACTTCTCACGGAGGAGATAGTTGCCGTGATCATAGAGGCGGTGCCAGTCCTCGTTAGAAGCATCTTCCATAATGTAACCTTGCTGCTTGAGACACTTGCGGACGTAAGCGTTCATAGACTTGAACCAGTTCTTGAGCTCGGGATCCCTATCGGCATCCTCATAGATAGTGTTGATAGAAGACCAGAGATCATCAGTGGATGTTCCGTTGGCGAATCTTTCAATCAAAGTCTAGCACGAGGTTAGCTTTGTCTCATTTTTAAGAGTAAGCACTACATACCTTCAGGTCAGCTTCAGCGGCAGCCAGGTGGGTTCGTGCCTTCTTGACAGTACCGGTACCTCCGGTGGCAATGCTTCTACCATGAGAGCCATACTGCTCAGCCAAATCTAGCAGCGTAGTAATGGCTTGCTGATAGTCAGGGTGTTGCTGACATTCAACGATCATTTTCTATTTATCTTTTGTTAGTACCGGTAATCATATTTAATAGGGATGGTTGCTTACCTTCAGACGCCAGATGATCTGATCACGACGCTCCTCGGGCACCTTCTTCGAGAGATACTGTCTAACGCGAGCGCGATACTCTTCGGCTGTCTCCTTCGAAGATTCGCGGGTCTCTGGGTCAACGTTGGAGACGACTTGCTGCGTAGCCCTGCCTGTCGCATTTTGTGCAGCATTCATGCGATCACCTGCCGACCCGTCCGGTTGTTGAACAGCTCCGGCTCCGGCGTTTGCAACACCTTTGGCATCCTGTGCTGGGTCGCTCTTGTAAAGATTCTGGAGCTGGGACCTCAGTGTTTCCTTGGAGAAATTAGGAGGATCGTGCCAGACGTTGTCCTCAGCAGGACGATCGATTTGAGAAAGTTCCTCGCCAGCAGGCCGCACCACGTTCGCGGCATTGGTAGCGGCATCGGCAGCAATGTCGCGTAGTAGTACGGTAGCATCATGGACTAAGAAACGGTTAGCAATTATGCTGATTAACGCGCGGGGGGTCAATGATCAACTTACGAAGCTTGCGGAACTGGCCGTTGGTGATAATCAATGTTCCTAGAGTCCGAAGCCCCTCAAGAGCCTTGTCGCCATGTTGCTTCGCCGTATCCTTGTCGACGGGAGCATTGGGTACGCTTAGGGTACTGGGGTCAAACTGCTGGGTCTGCCAGATGAAATCCTGTAGGAGGTTTCCTTCGTTCTTGGATAGTAGAAGCTTCTTAGCTTGAGTCACAACATCCTTCACGTCTGCGACAAGTTCTCGTCCTTCTGGTGAAAGTCGCTCTGGGGGGTTTGCTAACGCCCTAGACTGGAGGAAGCTGTTTAGGGCGACATCTATTTGTTCATTCTGTGACATCTAGTGTAAGCTTTGTATTGTCGAATAGGGGTTCTATATATGTCTATATGTGAAGAGGCACTTACGGATGGCAGTTTGCCAATCTGAAATGCGTTGACGATGCCGTATATCTGAAGCTTTCGGTTGACATCGGCTTCCTTCTGCTTGATGTCGGTTGGTTTGTTTACGCTTGCCATGATGGCGTCGCGATATGTAAATAGGGTATATTGATATCAGTTCTTAGTTAGGTATTCGACGATGGCGCAAAGCAGAGAATCGGGTTTTGGGTATCACGGTGAGGGTATATTGGTATATTGGTATATTAGGGTAATTGGGTAATTGGGTAATTGGGTAATTGAATATAAAATTGTTATGAGATTGCGAATTCACAATTCACAATGTATGAGAAAGCTTAGGTGAGGAAGAAAGAAGAGGAGATGATGAAATTTGAGGTCTGGGGGAGGACAAAAGGCGTTTATTATACGTTGACGTAGTTGAAATGTAAGTAAGTCGTAAGTAGTCGTAAGTAGTATTGAAAGCTACATTATATGAGCGCATGCAGCTGGCCGAAAGTCTATAGTATATACATGACTAAGTGCTGTTCTTTACTACTGATATTAAGTACCTATCTGATGCAATTGTCCATCTTGGCCGTGCTTGCCCAAGTCTAGATCTGTACTTGGAGTACCTCTTAAGATAATTAGGTGTTGATGACGTGAAACCTGGAGTCGTTTAATCCAGTACGTCATACATTAGGTTAAGTAACCTGTATTATCTAATAACAGTGGAACGCATTCTCCTTACTGGCCCAAGCTCCCGATACCTTTCTGCCTTCCTGCCTTTAAAGCTTTGGAGCTATGTTAGCATCTTCGTCATCCTATCACGACTACTATAAAAATCCTGGATTCGTCATCCTCGAACTGGAAAAGAGTCAAAGAAACTATGCTGCCATGGAATTTACATACTATCAAACCTAGCGATAATCAAGACTATTACCACCTAACTACAACGCGAGTGACGGAAAGACCAGGATCAAGCCAGCTTTAGGACCCCCCTTTTTCCGTATGTGAATTGATATCAAGAATGCCGCTCTACCGCCTCGTAAACTCGACTAGTACCATGGCTGCGATAGTCAACATGCTGTTTCATATGCGCGCAACGTCTTTAAACGAAAGAGTATCATGAGGAATGCGGGTATTCCTAGTCAAGTCGTACCCTAGTAGAATCTCAGATCCACCATCTACGGAAATATATCTAATAAGAGATACAAGTCCCAGAGATGTTTCAATGTGGGACGTACCAGCAAGTAATACACGTACAAGATGACTCGGGTTCTCCATATATAGGACATGGCCGTCTTGGGAGACCGGCATACGCCACGCGGGTCCTCAATACACGTGTATCGCGACTTCAGCGGAGAGAGCTTGTACGCAAATTGATTTTTCGAAAATCTTCAATTTCCGCATCCGGCTGTCTATGACGTAAAACTACCCAAGATGAATAATATCTCCAACATCAAGCTATCCCAAACCCTACGAAAAAAGGCTTCGTTACATAGTTCTAGTCAAGTCATGTGGAACGACTAAACAAGTTATTGGTTGGTAACAGGTATGCCTCTATGAAACAATCTGGGGTTGATACTTGCTACACTTGGCCTCGACCGGATCTCGATTGACGTCTTGGACGAGTATATTGCAAATTCTACGACATGTCCAACCCAACCTGCCAGCCTGCCAGCTTGCAAGAACAAGAACAAGGACGGGTTAACCAGTATTTTATTTTAATATCCTGGATCGAATGAAATTCATTCCCCGGACCGTCGTCTCCACCGTTTGTGCGTCGTGGTCGTCGAAATTGATGGTTAGGAGGGTTACATTGCAGATCGCCTCACGACAAGCTTCTGCCATCATGACAACACTTTTACCATCCCGTTCCCGATCGATCTACGCCAGGGCAATCAATTCTTATTTTGTCAAACCTCGCCCGTATTAAGATAATATCCATAGTGTATTGTTGAGGTGTGGCGATATCTAATTTCTTCTGGTAGAGTTTGAGTACCCTTTCAGCCTTTTCGCGCATGTGATTATATCTTCACCCTCCACTCGACTATCAAGCATCTAAAGGCTAGACCACTTCGATTTCCCAATGGGGAAATATATCTAGGCTTAGGCACATACATATGCAGGTTAATTCCCATCTATATTCGGAATGGCTACTATTAGACTGGGCTACTACATACACTACATAGCAATCCACCAAGATTAACTCCACCGCAAAACGTGTTTATAACGGATACTTACCCACCTGTTTCCACTGACAAACGTTCATAAACAGGGTTAGCTACCAAGACCTTAAGACAGATATAACATGGGAAAAAACGGCAAGCCACGAACAATCACTTCACGATTCATGAGAAACCTGAGTTAGTAGGAGAATAATATTGATATTGCTATGTACATCTCAATACCTCTGAGGGCCAAATCAACGAATAGAAAGCGACCTGGGTGAAAGTCAACCTAGTCAACCTAGTCAACCATCATGAAAACCTAAACGCCGCCATCGATGCAAACCCGTCCGCTTTCAATGCATTTTCCATGATTTTCCCTGATGATGTCGTATTTAGATCTCCTGCACGAACTGCGGGCCCATTAGATCGGTAGCTGCGAGCGCGGGGGCCACAAGCGACTTGTAGGGCATGGTAGCGACGGGCGTCGGGTCGAGGGCGCCCGAGTCCTTGTTGCGCTTGAAAGCGAGGAGACCGTTGTCACCTCCTTGGTTCGTGACGAAGGCCAGGGCCTGATCGGAGTCCTTGCTCAGGCTGAACATGCGCGGGCGCAGGCCGCCGGACGAAATAGTGTCGGCGAAGTCGAGGTGAGCGGCGCTGCACTTGCTAGTGCCCTTCTTGAATACGAAGTGTGCGATGCTGTCCGTCTCGTTACCGCTGATTCGGTTCGACACATACACGTCCCTCTGGTTGGCAGCGACAACGAGCTCGCCCGCAGCCGCGGAGGAGGCATTAGCCGCCGGGACGGCGCCGTAAGTGCTCTGCTTCTGGAGTTGCTTGAAGCTGATCGAGTCTTCAGTATAGGTGAGGTTGAATAGGAAGAGCTCGCTAGTTAACTCGGAAGCTAGCGTGTAGTAGTGGTCGTCCCCATCCGAGATGAAGCCGCCATGGCGAGGTCCGGTACCGGTAGGTAGGGTTACGTTGCCGGTAAACTCGTACCGGTCATCCTTGCTGTCGAGCACCAGCACCGTGTCGCCACCCAGGTCAGGGATGACAAAGAATCGACCAGTCGGGTCGAGGAGAGCTTGATGCGGGTGGTGAGCTCCTTGAGCAGGGTTAGGCTCTCCCGGAACAATAACGCTCTTCAGGTGCTTCAAGCTGCCATCAGCGGCCGAGACATCCCAGACGTCAATAGTACCGCTGCCGTAACCGGCGCCAACCATGCGGGTCTTATCGCCGTTGAATTCGAGGAAGACTACACCGGACGTGCCATTTGCGGCGGAAGCAAGAGTCGGCTTGCCCGAGTCGAGCGTAAAGAGACTAGTGTCGTTGGCGTTCTCGTTGACAGCATACAGGAGATTTGGTTCCTTGAAGAGTAGCCAGCTGGGTGCTGTCCCAGGAGCGGTATGGTTTCCAGTTATGGAGAACTTGGACCCATCAAAATCGGCAGTTAGGATCTGAAAGGGAGCGCCGATGACGAGCTTGCGAGATTCAGCTGCCGGAGCATCTTCGCGAGGTATAAGTGACGGCATCGCTGAAGCCGTGCCAAGGAGAAGTGCTGCAATAGTTCCCTTCATGTTTAAAATTGTGGAGGGGTAGAAAAATGATAAGATAGAAGGTTAAATGGTGATACGAAATGCGTTCAGATGGCGCCTGCTTAACAAATATGTAGCTAAAAATAGGGAAAAAAGGGAGAGAAGAAGTAGATTTGTCGTGGCGTTTATAGCAAAACAAATGGCTGGAGGCTAACTTATGAGCAGAAGTCAACAAGGAATTTGGCGATAATTCTCTAGTGACTAACGCTGAAAGTCGGGCTTCAAAGAATAGTTAATAATAATAGTTAATGATATGATGATGAATGACAAAATGACAAGGTAATTGTTCCCAGTGTGACCTAATTTCTTTGGACAAGGAACAAATGATTTTCGAAATAACAAATGAATGTGTCTATGTATTGATTACGATATTAGACCTGGACAATTCAAACAAGGGAATATAGGTTTTGCTTATTGTTACTCACCTTCAACCCCCACGTGAAGCTGTAAGTTGCATCAATTCCAGGATACGAATAAATTGACAGATAGACGTGAGAAGAGACAACTAGAAAAAATCGATAAGAACGAAGACACGATCATAAATAGAGAATGACCACAGAATGACTAGAGAATGATTAGAGAATGACCAGGCAGAAGGAAGGCTTTGGTTCAATTTTATTATTCACATTCAGGTATTCAACAGAGCATTTAGCGCTCCCTTTTTCTTGGCTCGAGATGATACCTCCCTATTTCGAACAGACTTAAATAGTTACACGGTGCTCAGCATAACTCCATAGGGCTGTGTTACAGTTTTATTGGTGAATGTAGAATGATATGTACCAACAAGAGACCACATGCATCTGACTAAGTGCAACATTCACAGGTAGGTATGTCATGTTGCGCCGCTTGGTTGGTTGTAAGCTTAATAAATTATCAAGTGGACAATACCTAAATAGGAACATCGTCATAAGGAGACTATGGAAATTACACTGCGATTCCCCTAGGTATTGTATTACAGCGGGGAAAGATCATCGGGACTTCGGTGTGGATTCGGCTTGTTTAGGATTGATAGGCGCGAATCAATCCCGCGCCTTCTTGTATAGTGAATTAAAGGGCTTTTAAGAGCCAATCGTCTGACTTGCGCCGCCTCCTCTCCAGACGGGGAAGTTATTACATATGTGCCTGCCATATCTGCATATGTAAATGCACAAACAGACATTAGTGTATGTATATACATATGTTAGGTACATAGTAGGATCCCGACTAGACGGAACTGACAGCTTTTGAAACGCCCTATTCGTCTATTTGTGTATCCGACTAGTTAACTTTATAGAAACAACCTCTAAATGACGCCAGCAAATCACGCTACGTTTTACATTCCATCCTTCAAACAAAACACCATCTAACCAATCTTTATCTCACCTCACTTCACCTCACCTCACCTCGCCTCACCAAGTAATCGTAGCAACCGCATCCTCATACATCTCCCCCCTCCCATCCAACAAATTCTCATAAATCCACCTCCCCGCATCATCCCTAGAAATCACATACCCCACCGCCGGCGCATCCCCCAGCCCAACTCGTATCTCCTTCCGCGGCGCCGCCTCGTCGACCAAGAAGCTAGGCCGCACGATCGAATACGCGTACCCGTACTCCCCCGCCCCCTCCACGAGCAGCTTCTCCATGGCGATCTTGTCCTCGTGCGGCACCCGCAGCATGATCTTGTACATGGGCACGAACAATATCGGCACGTCGCGCGCCGACTGCGATATCCCGCATGTGCTTACCACGGCGACGCGCGGGCGCCAGCGTTCGGTGGTAAGTAAGGGGTGGTGGTGGTGTTCCCGCACGAGGGAGATGGCGGCTTGGAGCGCTGCCATGCCCTTCTCGCAGACGTGGGGGTCGTCGAGCGTCATGCGCGAGAATTGTAGAACGCCCCCGATGGTCGAGACGATGGCGTCGACGGGCTGGGTCCCGACGACTAGACATTGGGCTACGGCGGTGGCGTCGTGCGCGTTGCCTTGCACGATCTTTAGATTCGGGAATTGATCTGCCGGAAATCGGTCGGTGAGCTTGGATGGGGTCCGGCAGAGCGCGATGCAGGTGTGGCCTGCGGCAAGTGCTCGGGTTAGCGCGCCTAGGCCGATACCCCCGGAGGCGCCCATGAAGGCGATGAGTTTGGTGTTGCTTGATGAGTCCATGCTGTTTTGCTCTAGTATAGGTGAGTGTCTTTTTAGAGATATAAGGTGTTGTCGTAGACTCGTAGGTGATTGAAAGGGTAAGTTATGTATGTCGTGATCACGTAGGTAGCAGTAAGTGTATATATGTGTAATAAAGATGAGTTGGTATTATGTCAAGATTATACTATGCTGTTTTCGATATATCGTGCAAGTTGCAATGTGCTCTGTTGTGATGTCTGAAGACGTAGTTATGTATGTATAAAACTCTAGCTACCATCTCAACGGAAGGACGGTCTTTTATATTATTACTTTACGTTAACAACCCAACTATCATATTGTTACACATTCCCAATAACAAGCGGATGAATCCAACTCGTCCCATAGATCCGAAAGATAACCGTCGCAAAGACCTACCTCGCGCAGAATTCGGGGCCCCCAAACGTGAAGTATCGTCGGTGGCTCAGCCGCAGACCTACGGAGGGTTAGTCATCCCGCCCAACCATCATTCGCTCGGTTGCTCATGGCGGTTACTATGTTAGGCTTAGAGCCAGCCTATGGACCACACAGCTCAAGCCGCAAAGCCCCGGTTTCCGTTCTAAGTAACTCGGAGATGCGAGACACATCCGCGAGAGACGGCCTTCAAACCATCCGGGTTATTCGTACAGAGTCCGAAAGGAACCGATGTATGCGCCGCTATTGCTTATTCCGGGCTTAGATGCTTTTGACATGTTAAGTATATATAACTATGATATAAATAGCATCATTGATGAATTGACTACCGAATTGTGGTTCCTCGGCTTTTTAATACTGTGTTAAGACGAAGATGATAAGGAGTACGTGTCTTGCCCTTCTACGAACGCCAGACTATAATTATTACTCAAGTCCCTAGGTACGAGTGAGGATAGTCTTATATAAAGCTATTCTACACCATTCCTAACACCACGGACCGATTATGAAATAAAGATGCTAGTTTATAGTTAGTAGCAAAGGTAATCCACTAAAGAGTCCTTACGTTAAGTCCTAAAGTCAACAATCGAGCTTCTCTATTTTTATTCCATCGTCGAATTTACAACAGGTCGAATATATGAAAAGTATGCTCTCCTCACATTCACATCTCAACATATACTTCACAAAGAACCAAATCACACATATCACAAATACCATACCAAGCTCAATTGAATATCCATATTCCTAATTTCTTTTTAATTATATACAAGTTATTTATACTAGCGGATCTCATTAAACCCTATGTACCTAAGGGCACAACGTTTCCGTAGTTCGTTCGTTCGGTGACAGCATACCCACATCGATATGCAAAGCCGTATCCATAAAAGGAGCGGACGGCATCGCGCCATTACCTCCGCAGATTGATATCGTGGTCCATACGCAAGAGCCGCCCAAGAGGTCGTGCGGACCCAGAACCTAAGGAAACCCCCATAGACTCGTTTTTGTAAGGTTGATATATATACACACATACGTATAACACAGGAATTCAATCCGCAACTTAAAGCCAAAGCATAGCGCCAACAGCAATGAGGGCGGCGAACGCGCTCGCGCCGAAAGTACGCTCTGGTCGCATACCTTGGTTAGGGTTGCTGTTGCCACCACAAACCTGTTGGAAACTCTCCGTGCAGACGGCGCTAGGGCTGCTACCTGCGGGAGTAGCGCCGCTGCCCGAGCTACCGTCGCTCCCACCGGCCGCTTCTCCATTAGTACCAGGCCCGCCACCGCTCAGGCCGGGAACGACATTCTGCGAGCTCGATGACGCGCTCGAGCCCGTGGGATAGTCCTTGTCCATATCAAGGCCGGTACCCAATAGCGACTTCAGGACGGTGTTGGAGTCGCCATCCACAACGGTATCATTGGTACCCCTCGCATCGTTGTAGACGTAGCTCTTGCCCGAGTTGGTGCCGGGCGCCTTGTCCGTCTTGTAGCAGTCGATAGTAACCTCGCCGACGGTGGCGTAGTAGTACCCGTCCTTCTTGATGGCGTCACTCTCCCAGTCGATATATCCACCGGCCCAGTCAACCGTGCCCTTAGCGTTCTTCTCGTCACCACCAGGCCAGATAGAAAGTTGAACTCGGGCGGGTGTCTGGGGGAATTCCCATTGGTTGGTGGTAGAGTTCCAGGTGTTTGACTTCTCCCACGTCCGACCAAGCTTGTCATCTACAAGCCATTCGATCTTGTCCGGAGTCCACCTAATCTCGTAGGTGTGCCATTCGGTATTGGTGTTTTTAATGTCCGAATCGGTGATGTTGCCAGAATGGGAATCTATAGAATCAGTTAGCGAATTGCTGCTCGTATAATTCATTGAATACGCTAGGATCTTACAATTGGGTATGCCCTGGAAGTAGTAGTTTGTCTGAACAATATCCAGTTCGGTACCAACCCACTCAAAATCGATCTCGTCCTTAACATCGCTGAGCAGAATGAAAGCTGTAACAACACCAGCATCCTTCGACGTCTTTATGTTAGCCTTGACATTTCCGTACCACATATAGACAGTTGAGGCGAGAACAGTTCCGGCGGAGTGAGCCGGCATAGTCAAGAGAACATTTCCATTGTGGGAGAGAGGGTTGCCCTGAGCAACCCAATCAGCCTTGGAAGGATCACCAAGGTATTTCGAGGCATCAGCGATGCGGTCGGTGCTATCCATCTTCATCGTCCTAGACTGACACACGGGCTCGGGGACACAGGAATCTAGGGAAAAGGACATGCGCGGGTCGCATCCGCCGAGGCAGTACGCGCCAACGCCGCATTGTCCGTATTCTATAGTTTGGCCAGGTTAGAGAACTGCGCATTAACGCATCAGGGTAGGAGAGTGTATCTTACGAGAGCAGCAAGGAGTCTCCTCTGGGCACTTGTTAGTGAGGGAACAGAAAGGCGCAGACTCAGCGAGTACAGCAGAAGCGCCCAGCAAGGCCACAGCCAGGGCTGGTATCGATCGAAGCATCTTATAGATGTTGATTTGACGAATATTAAGGTATTATTATATCGGTAATTATGTATATGTACCGTAGTCGAGAGCAGTTGAGTCGCGTGCGTCTCTGTATGTACCTATATACAGCACGGGATACTTGTGGGCGTATCAAGCGAATGAAGCCGGGAATAGTATATATATTATCAATTGGTGGATATTTGACTTAGTCCACAGCAACGGACACTTCCTCCACACGTGTATGCTTGAGCAAGCAAACACTAGGATGAGGAAGGCGTGCGTATGATAGCCGATCAAAGGGAGGAGGGTCAAATAGGAGTCTCAACAAGTTTGTCGACTTATATTATATATACAAGCTACACTACTTTCAGTATTTATAACTAAAGCAGCTGTGCTTTCTCGGGTGTTTCAAGCAAGAGTAATCCGTAATCCGTTATTCGAAAGCGAAAGAGGCGAAACCTCTTTTGGAGGGATCAGAATAACGACTGAATTATTATAAATATAGACAAAGGTCAAAGGCCAACGAATGTTTGAATATAGGTACGATGAGCACAAAAGACTCGCAGCCACCACCTGCTAGAAATTCATACAAACGGCAAAGCGAAAGTAATTACCAAAAAATTGGCAAACCGAGAAATTATCTACCTACCCTATGGGGGTTGATAGGAGTGGTTAGTATGTATGTATGGGGGAAAGGGAAGAAAGAGAGAAATGGCGTGAAGCCCGAATGTTCGAGAGCCTGGCATAACGGCTAGGGATTTCGCTTTCGCCTAGGATCTTCATAGGATAGGTTGGGATAGCCTGATAGCGTGACAGCGCTGATATGTAGGATTAAGAGAGGATGTCACTATAAGATACTTGGTTGGGAATAGTGGAAATATTCTGTTTCTATTGCGGGTCAAAGCGAATTGAGTCCCACCAGTGTTTGTACCGGAAAGGCTAGAAGAGGTACCAAGATTTAATCGATTGGCAGCCGTTGGAGGAGTGGAGCTTAATGACATGCCATCTCATTGGATTATGTAGATGGTACAGTATATTATTATAGCCTATATGATTTTTATACTGTGTTCATTCAGCTGCAAAATCTCGTATTTCTTCACAAATCGAACTAATCTACCTAAAACAAACTTGACTGATGACCAAAGAAACTCGAAAACTCGAGACGCCAAAGAAGCCAATAACATCCAAAAAAGACATCTAAAACATACCTCCCATATTTAGCAATGCCGTTTATCGAGGAATCTGTAGATCAACGATTACTGTAGTGTATAAGTGTTAAAGTGTTACACCACTCCTGTCACATTTAAACACTTCTACCAATTTCAAGACATTCCTTTCAAGACATTCTAGTTTCTCTAGCAAGCATGCCAAGCCGCCCAGGTCTAAGCTAAAAGACAAGGATATTGTTACGATATTCAGCTCCTGTGCATGCATGACAGCTAGAGGGATGGACTAATCTTATGCCATAAAAAACAGTCTGCCGGATAATTGGTAGCGAGGAGGATAAGCTCCGGCATATGAATGATACCGATTCAAGCATGGCTGGGCGAACCCGTGGTAAGAAGAATAAGAAGACCAATCATCTCAATTATGTATCGTGTCACCGCGTGATTCCTTTAAGGAGAACCATACATATCAACATTCAGAACGAATCGACAAAAAAATATGCACTTAAGTCTCCTTATGGAATTACATACATGCATACATGGCTCCTCGGTGCTCATCGCCCCCCTGTCTCTTACATACCTAGGTAGGTAGTTATTAAAAGCCAAGAGAGAAAACCCCGGCAATCTGTCAGGGATAGAATCGGATAGGTGACGTCGATGCATACACTACATACAAGACAGAATCCCATGCACCCCGGACTTTCTTTACGGGGGGATCCGGTCTTGCTCGCAAGTTGAAGGTTAAGTAGATACGCCTTTTGATGGTGTGGGAAAGATGTAATATGTCCGAGTACATAAAGAGCTTGAGAGACGATGTACGATCCTAAATTAAGCCAAGGAACGTTTCGTATCAAGGGATAGATAGCCTGCTGACGTCTAAGCATTCTACATAGCAAGTCGCCACAGCTATAGCAGAATCATGGCAAACATCAATATATCATATCATCATCTATCCCGTGAGGATGTATGTAAAGGGGACGGGCCCTTATATAAATCACTTATCTGCGAGACTTTTACGTAACTAATATAAGCTGTCTATATACAACATCTCAACCCCAATCCCACATACATTCAGACCCCTTGATACCGTAACTACGTGTGTAAAGGACAGTAAAATAACACAAAGACAATAGTTATATCAAATTAAACCAGCCAAACCCCCCTTCAAAACAAATACTCCCCCGCAAACGCCAGCCCCTGATGCACAACAGTCCTCAGCTCCTCCGGCATAGGCAGCGCCTCGGCACGGCTGAAGCTCGCCCACACCAACCCGTCATGCTCCGGCGACTTCACAGCCAAGTCGTCGTGATTCTGCACCAGCACCGCGTAGTTAAGCTGTAGATACTCCTTCCGCAGGACTAGTTGCGGATTATGTATCGGCGACCTTCGTGACTGCGACGAACCACTACTGCTACCCCTAGACCCTCCTACTCCTCCTCTCCCCCCTATCCCACCCGCACCACCGTTCCAACCGCTACTACTCCCATTCCCACTCCCACTCCCATACCCATACCCACTACTCCCCCCGAAACTACCACTACCACTACCAGGCGATCCCGTACCCGACGTCAGCGTCGCCCCATCCAGCACAGATAAATTCCCACTACCCCTCCCGCCCGCGGTAAATATCCCCACGCCGTCGTCGTCCCAGTCCAAGATCCGCACCTCAGCAACCCGCCTCACGTCCTGCAGAGCCCCGAGCACCCTCACAACACGAAGTCCCGTCTGCTCCGCCACGCGCCCCGCCACGGCCGCCGAGATGCAGAAATCCCCGTCCCGCACCTTACCCCCCGGGAGTTCCCACATGCCCCCGTTGCGTCTAGTCCAATATTCCCCTTCTCCCTCCACTTCCCTCCCCACGCCGTTGTCATCTCGTTTATGGTGCTGCCGGCGCCATCGAGAATAGGGGGAAGTACTAAAAGCAGCAGCAGTAGAAGTAGTGGTAGTGGTAGTAGTGGTGGCGATGGTGGTTGTGGTTGTGGTAGTAGGAGAACCAGGGGTAACAGGGGATTTAGCGTACGGCGCCGCCTCGGGGGTATCCGACCGTCGGAGTAACAAGACCGAGGGCCGGGAGCTATGTGCGTCCATGCGGAAGATGCACACGCCCACGTACAGCTTGTCAGCGGGCCGCGTGGCACGGATGGCCTCAAGGTACTGGGCGCGGGACATAGCCAGCACCGACTTCTGCGCATGTGACAGCGTCGACCTCTTGAACGACGACGACGCTGTCGTTGAAGTTGCCATTTCTTCCTACCGATACGTAGGTAGGTAGGTATGTAGGTAGGTAGGTAGATAGGTAGATAGGTTAGTACACAATGGATACAGTGGCTACATCGCACCAAGCGCAGAAGAAGAAAATATGGTTTAGAGAAAGACCGCTGTGCCCCTAATTTGCCCTTCCCGTCTCCTAGTTCAGTCTCGACGGGAACGCACATGCAAATCAGTCACGTCTGAATGTAAGCGTCCGTCCGCCCGTCTGCTCGTGTGTATTTTCCCCCTTTCCCTCCGCGACACACGGCCGGCTAGGTACCTAACTCTCTTGTTCTCCCCCGCCCACTTCTATCTCATCTATAGATGATACAGTAGCGAGAGAACCGGGGAAACACTAGGGTGAGTAATAGTAGATATAGAACTATGTCAAATTATTCTCCTTCCTATCCTACCTCCGCCCGAGAAACTACCTACCTTTCTCCTTATATGTTCCCGGGACGTTGGTACTGACAGAATAATGTTTTCGACTAGCCGGAAGCGACATTTTATATGGTCGGCGAGAATACGCCTCGAACCTATTTGGACCTGACTATACCTATAGCTCCCGAAAAGCTTGCAAGATTAACTTTCCAACGGCAGGGAAACGTTGCTGTGCAGCCGCTAAAGTTTTCTCCCAACGTTATGGGACAATTTAAGGTGGCGGGATTCTGTCGGAATTCTGATAGACATTGGTGAACTCACCTACCAAGGGCGCGCGGCATACACAAAATAGCACCAAAGCGTCTCGGCGTAAGTCGGTAATAGCCTTCATTTTCTATCATATGATTCTGCTATCCTTGTCGTTACGTTGTAACTAATCCTTATACCTGCTGGTAATATTATGGCTCTGTATTTGATATTGCTGTTTTTAACAAGAGAGCAGTAGAGTTCGGATATATTCTAGATAGGTGCGTATCTACCTATGCAATCTTCAAGCAAAGTGATACGTATACGTGGTTAAATGAATAAGGCAAGGAAAAAAAGGGGGGGAAGAAAAACGAGAAACGTAAAGTCGATACGTAGGAACAAGCATAATAGGTGCAGCGCATACTACGAGGCTCAAGATGGGCACACTAGCAATTTAGCGCACGAGACTTCCATGGACATAATGGATAACTGTGGTATTCAAGTAGCTACCTCTGCACCCAGTACCGTTGTGGTTATATTACAGGAAAAGGGTACCGGTACAGATTCCCTAGTACCAGGGCCTGCAAATTATTAAAAAGACTCATCTATTGACTGCTGATCGCATAGTAACTCAAGTGACTTCGCATCCTAACAACCCTGCATTAAAACCCCCTAAGAGCACGTCTGATTGATCCATAGTCACGCATCAACATCACCATGGTTTTTAGAAGACTTCTTTTTTTCTTTGTAGTAATAATCCCTCAACCCGCCTACCACAATGCCGCGAGACGTAATCATTCAAGATCACAGAATACAACTCTGACTCTTCCCGAGTTCCGTAATTTAACAATCCATCCATTCTCCCGTGGGGGAATCGTGCTGTGAAAAGAAAAAGAAAACCGTATCCTTGCCGAATAAGTATACCGAAACAGAACTACAGACGAAAACGGGAGTTGACGATACGCCGCCGTGTCGTTAATCTCCCATCATCCCATGTCGTGGTGCAACCAGAGGTTACGAAGTTGTGAAAGTCCGGTTTCCACGTACCAGTGGGATGTTGCCGAAGAGGACCTCATAGAGCCTGTTTCTCTTACAAAACCTGATAAGAATGAGCAGATCGAAGCATATAGGGTTTGTGCGCCAACGCCAGAAATGGGACACTCAGAACGAAATATGGGGCCTAAAGCCTGGGCTTTCTTAACGTGCCTTTTGCGTAGAGAACAGTTCCGGAAAATGCTCTTTGGCATATTGCTCACAAGCCTGTATTAATATTGATTAGCAAAGGAACGGAACATCGCGAGTGAATTGAGCAGAGGGAGCAAACTAACCTTAGCTGGCTTTCCAACTTTCTGGCCGATAGTCTTCCACTTGTTGTTCTCGTAATCCTTAATGGCGCTGAGGAGCGCTTGGCTTTCGTCTTCGGCAAACTCGGCGTAGTGCATATCCTAGACGGTTATTGGCAACAGGGAACAGGGCGCAAGACATACTAAACAAATACGTACCTTGTACCAATGCTTCTTGACACTGCCCTCAGTTCGCGTTGGGAAGGTCTATTGTCGCTCAAGTAAGTTAGAATTCCAAGAATATTCGCCTCAGATGAACTGACCTTGGCAATTTCTGCCCAGCTGTTGCCCGCATCCCTCATCTGCTTGAGTCGCAATTCCTCGGCAGGAGTCCAGGGAGTATTCGTTCGGCTCTTCTTGGCAGGGGGTGGCACAACCGGAGTACTGGCCTCTTCCTTGGTGGGAACCGCCGGCGGGGCGACGGGAGTAACCTGCATCGGCGGTTGGGGCGCCGCGGAGACTGGGGTGGGGGCCGGTGCAGGAGCAGGAGTGCTCGAGGCGGCGGCACCAGTTGTAGCCGTCGGAGCTGGAGTCGCCGCGTTGGCGGTTGGCGCGTGCGGCTGCTGATGGGCTTGCTGCTGATGCCCAGGTGCGGCGCGCTTACGGCCACGCGGAGCAGGAGCGGAGGCTGGGGTCGGAGTCGACTGTTGAGACGGCGCAACAGCGGGTTGCGGGATGGTCATCGGAGGTGGAACAGGCGTAGCATGATGCCCCTGTGTTGGGTGTGAAGGCTGGTGGGGTTGGTGATGGGGGTGCTGCCCGTGGGGACCATGAGACTGCTGATGCGTCTGGTTCTGGTGTTGCTGGTGCTGAGGCAGTTGCTGGTGGTGCTGCTGACCATGCGATGGGTGCAGTTGGGCACCAGGGTTCGGAGGCTGCGGCGTATAACCAGTAAACTCAGTCCGACGTGACATGTCGGCTTGGTAAGGATGGTTAGGGCTGTATCACAGAAGAGTATTAGCATACCCATATGACTTGGTATTGCTGAGAGCGACAACAGCAAGACACGATGCAATCATGGCTGCACAGCATTGAACATTCCGAATCGACGACAGTTGATAAAGTAAGGCGGAAGAGGTAGGTGCCTTTCAGCTGATGAAGAGAGCAGGGGTGTTATGAAGTAGTTGGAGCTGCAAGGTAGTGGATATTGCTGGGTTTGTATCGAGAAATAATGAGGCTATCACCAGGGGTCCTGCCACTCGTGGTGGAGCAGGCACTTGTCGACCTGGGTTGGAGGTTTGCGGGACAGGTCCATGACTGAGACGACAGGTATACATTTGGTACATATATGACCATGTCATCTATACAACGAGAATGGTGGTATATGTGTACGAGCCCATCTGGGGTAGACGAGGGGGGGAAGCGGAGGGGGAAGATGGGGAACATGTATAGAGTCGGGGAAACAAATTGAACAAGTACAGTACTTGAGAGACTTGGGGAGACAGGATGTAGAGAGGAAAGGGAATGTACTTACTGCATGCCATCGTTCGCGTGCTGGGTGGAGTTGGTGTAGACCGGGTAGTCCGTCGGCATGGGGCCGACCTGCCACTGCTGCATGATCTGAAAAGGGCAAACTAGTGTCAGCTACAATACTAAGGTTTCTTTGTTCCCGATACAACTGAGGAAAATCAAAAGTGCATGGAACAAAGCTAAAGCTCGAAAAGGAGGGGGGATAAATAAAACGGGACTGAGCAAAAAAAAAAATAAAAAATAAAAAAATTGGAGGAACAAAAATAAAAATGGATTGTAAGTAGAGGGGAAAAGGGGAAAAGGTACAGGTGAGAAAAATAAGAATTAGTCCGCGCAGAAACAGGGAGGCGAAGTAAGTAGGCGAGGTGCGCCAGAGTAAGGGAATAAGGGAAAGTAACAGCGGCGGCAGAGAGGGGACGAGACAAAAAATTACCACTGGTCCGACGAAAAATGTAGGGACGAATAGAAACGTCGATAAAGAAAAGACATAGTATGACAAGTAGCTGTAACGGTGTTGAGGGTGAGAGTGAGAGTGAGTAGTAGCAGGAGTAATAAGTGACGATGATAGAATATTACCGCGAGATTGTTGTAATAGGAGGCAGACTATGGTGTCTGCATGCGCGAGGAAGTTGGAGGGGCAAAGGGCATTTTTAGTTGACAACGTGTGTTTTGATTACGATGCTGCTGATGGTTGCTGATGGTTGATGCCAGAGCAAGGCCACAGCCGGCAGCATCGTGAAGGGTTGGTTGGAGTGTTGATCCAAACACGCGTGTCTTGAGTAGTCGCGCAACTCGATTACATTTTTCTTCTTCTTGTTGATGCGGGCGACGGGTGATGATGTCGATAGTGGGGATCGCGAAGGAAATACCGGAATACAATGAATGATTGAAGAAAAAAAAGATACAAAAAGTAGATGGTACTCAAACTTACGGGCAATTAGAAGTATGAGATGGTTAAGCGGTAGTGCATAAAAGTCTGCAGCGACGTTGAAACTCTGTTGCCTCCTGCTGCGAAACGGCGAGGGCAGGCAATCAATAAGTCGAGTCGCGCGTACAGTGGACAGCGGTTTGTGTCTTCTCAACCTCGAGGCGACTTGATCCGAGATACAATGGACGCGTTTGTCACCTGGTACTGCACAGGTAGATTCGCGACTTCCTGCTTAGCTGGGGTGATAAAGTGTTAGACAAACCCGTGGGAAAGAAAGTGACAAGAAGGGTTTAGTCAATCGAAAGTGGGCGCGCGCGCAGCAGGCACCGACGCCGGTGAACAAAAGATTCGAGGTGAGGTTGGGGTTTGAATGTTGTTGTTGCAATGACAGGGAATGAGAACCAAATGTATCGTGGTTCAGCAGAAGTACGGAGTACCTTGGTGTGAGAAAGGAAAAGGTAGAGGGAACAAACTGTGCGGATTTGGGGAGGGGTGCAGGTTGAGGAACCGTGGGAAGTATCTGAGTATGTAAGAGGTATGTAATGTAGAAGGAACGTTGGTGAGGTAGCCCTTAGCCACCTGCAAATTTTGCACTTCTGCCTGTCGCGCACGCACGGACTATAGCACAGTCCTGATATTGGTCCGTGTGTCTTTCTTTTCTATTTTTTTTTTATGAAATTTCTTTATGCCAGCACCGCCTTCAGTACAAAAGTTCCCTGTGGTCTAAGCTTTTAGTTCGGTGGGGAATTTAGCCAAGACCTTAGTGTACACTAGAACAAGTAAAGAAATCAATGTACATCGCAATATGCGCGCAGTTATGTAGTGGGCTAACTATCAAAGCGGAAGAATAAAAGTGAGGGCATTTAGAAGATTGGGAACGGCGCATGTAAAAACTGAAATATTGACTGCAACTGGGAGGGTATAGTAGTTCATTGGGTACAGATGATATGTGGCGTTGTGCTGCCGTAAGACTTGGGATTGACGTGAGAAAAAAAAAACCTTGAGAGGTCACGATACCTTTTTTCCTAAAGAAATTAAATTTCTCGTCTCCTTCAGTTGGTCGAAAAAAAAAACCACAGCTTTCTTCCAAATTCCCTAATCGCGACGTCAATTTGCGAATCTGC